CCCGATAAAGAACAATCTGCTTCCAATACGCCCGGCCGGGCCTTATCGCCGGGTGCGTTCACCAAGTGCGTTCCAAAGCAGTGCCCGGCCTGAGCCGAGGCGCCAGGAAAAGAACGAGATAGACAATTTATATCGCGAGGAGAAAGAGAGCGAGAGAGAGAAAAAGCTAATTACGTCTGGCCAATCCTGTCCCCACCTCAACACGCACTCACACACACTCAGACACGTGCTATAACTCTGTCACACTTTTCGACGCGTATATTGTCGGCTTGCCAACACCGCCGCGCCTCCTCCGCTACGCCAATACTAGTCTTTCTCTAGATGGGGGGCAGCACGGCCGCGCCACGCTCTGCCCCTCTCACACCCATGCGTCATGATCCACGAGTGCGAGAGAGACAGAGCGAAGAGTGCAGGCGGCGGAGTAGCTCGACAGGGGCGAGTCGATCCAGGATTCAGCCCGACGAACTGCGGGTAGGCAGACCCGCAACGCAGGCGCGCGCGGAGTCCGACCGGCTGCCTACCTGGAGGCCGGCAGGCGCTTCAGGCGGGCCGAGCGAGTCGTCTCGGTTCCGGGCGGTGTACTGTACGATGTCGCGGCGGGGCGGGGCGGGGCGGGGCGGGGCGGGGCGGGGCGGCGTGCATTCGACCTGTCAAGTGCGTTGCTATCTAGCGGAGTGGCGGGCCAGCCCCCGCCAGCGATACAGACCCACTTCCCTTCCTGTCAGGCGCACGTCGGCCGCCAAAGCGAAGCAAGGCGAAGCAAAGCGCCGAGAGCGAAGAGCGGTCCCGCAGGGCCCGTCCCTTTCGTCGCTCTGTCTCCCTCGCACCTACACGGGACGCCCCGCGAGTGCGAGAGAGACAGAGCGACGACTCTCGGAGCCAGTCTGCTGCCTGCACGCCAGCCTGTCCGCCTGTCGCAGTGCATTTATGCATTATGAGTGCCTTGACGCTGCCGCGCGCCGCGCGCCGCTACACTGCCGAGCGAAGAGTCGTTTCGTCGCTCTGTCTCTCTCGCACTCGTGGGGCTCTCCGTGAGGGTGCGAGAGAGACAGAGCGACCGGGCTGCTCGGCGGGCCGGGCGCGGTGACACAGTCCTTTGGCACGGCGCCGCACCGCGCAGACCGCGCACCGCATCCATTGCACCGGGACCCAGTCCGTGAGGCAACAGACCTTTTGCAACGGCCACGTCCGCTACTAATCAATATGCCGAGGCGTGCCCGGCAGGGAGGGGGTGGGGGCAGGTGGGTCCAGGGAACGGCGAGGCCCTGTGTACGCAGCACGCCGAGGACGAGGGGGAGGCAGCAGCAAGCAGACTGGTTCCGAGAGTCGTCTTTCGTCGCTCCGTCTTGCTCGCACTCTCGGGGCGTCCCGTGTGGGTGCGAGAGAGACAGAGCGACGAAACGGACTCTCGGAATCAGTCTGCTGGGTGGGTGGCCCAGGCCCACAGAGACCAGGCGCGCAACTTCTAGTCTAGGGGCTGCTCGAAAAATGTGGAAGCTGGCCTGCACGAAGGCCGTCCTCTGCCCTGGTCCGGGCCGGGCGTTGTTGCCTGGCCGCGGCCCTTGCCGATCGCGGCGGACTATAACCCAGCTTGACGGCCGGGCGACGCAAGGCGAGGCGAGGGCAGGCCGCCATGTGAGCCCCAACGCAGTAAAACGCTCGCCATGTGCGAGGCTAAGGCTCAGGCCCTACTCATTCGGTCACCAATCACATTCTCCCATCGAATGGCGTACAGCCGAGCAGCTCCGGGCCGCCCCAGCCCAGCCCCGCCCCGCCCCGCCCGGCCGCGTCGGCCACCTAGTGGGGCGGGCGCCGCGCCACCCCCTCGACGCTGACCCTCCCCCTCCCCCTCGCACAGCGACCCGCGGCGCAGACAACCTGCTGTTGCAAGAAAAGTGTCACTTTCAATTTTATCGCTCGCATTTAATGAGACCGCGTTGGCCCTTTCGCAGACGGCGCCGCGGCACTGACGGGAGAGGGGAGGGGGGACGCGTCGGGAGGTAGGGCAAGGGCGGCAGGGCACACCGGCACACCCCGTCCCGCCCCGTCCCCGTCCAGCGCGGCCTGGCCCTCCTGGCCCCCGAACCTGTTGCCCTTCGCGCAGGGCCACGCAGGGCCCCGCCAGCCCAGCCGCACAGCCAAGGCAGGCAGGCAGGCAGGCAGGCAGGCAGGCAGGCGCGTCCACGTGGAGTCCGCGCGACCGGGACGCGGACGACGCGGAGCGGGACGCAACGCGAATCAACCCATTGGCCGGCGGCAGACTGATTCCGAGAGTCGTTTCCGTCGCGCCGTCTCGCTCGCACCTGTACACGGGACGCCCCACGAGCGCGAGAGAGACAGAGCGACGAAAACGACTCTCGGAATGAGTCTGCTGGCAGCCTGCAGGGCCGGGCCGCCTGGGCACGTGACCAGCATGAGCAGCAGACGGCGATCCCGCTCGTTGAAGCCCTCGGCGGCTCTCGGCGGCCCTCGGCCCTGTCAAGGCGGCCGAGGCGACCCACACCGCAAAGACGCTGCTCCCGCTGCAGCCGCCCGAGGCCACCGCGTCGCCGCGTCGCCTTGCAGGATGCGAGCGAGGTGGTGGACCGCGGACCAGGGGCCGGCGGCGGCCACGGGTCGCAACCTGGCGGCGTTGCCAGGCCAGCGGCCCACCGGCCACACCGAGGGCCACACCGTTGCCGCGTGGCGGCGCTTCCTTTGAGTCAGAGGCCGGCCCCGCCAACCCCCGCCAACCCCCGCCAACCCCCGCCCTTGGCGCCCCCGCTGCCCCCGCGTCCGTCAACCTCCTGGACGACCCCGACGACGACCCCGACGACGACCCCGACGACGACCCCGACGACGACCCCGACGACACGGCGGCCACGTAAGTGCACTTGCACGAGTGCAGATGTCCACCGTGCCTGGCCGTGCCGTCCGTCCGCGAGCGCAACGAGCATCGCGTCGAGGGGGCGTCGCGGCCGCGGACAAAAGGCGCCGCACCTCGCGGCGTCCGCAGTCCGCAGCTGTCGGCGGCTCGGCGGTTCAGCGGCTCGGCGGCTCGGCCGACGGCGCGGCCACGCGGCCACGCGGGCAGGCCGCCCGGCCGCAGCCACCGCCGCGTCGTCCCCACGGTAAAAATAGTCGTGCGAAATGTAGAAAGAGAGGCCCCCGGCCATTATCCGGCGCGAATCGTGTTGTGGTGGAGGTGTAGGAGTAGTGCCTCGCCTCGGGGCGGCGGGTCGACACGGCGGCACGGCGGCAGGCCCTCGCCCCGGTGCAAGCTAGTACGCCGCCAGTGCACGGCGCACGGCGCCCCGGGCCCCGCTGCACCGCGCCGCCACCGCGCTGCTGTCCCCCAAGACGGGGAGTGGCGTGGGGGGCGAGGGCTGCTTGGCTTGGCGCTTCGCGGCTTCGCGTCCGCGCCGCTCTCGCCGCGGCCAGGGTTAGCGGCTCGGCAGCGGGGCGCGGGGCGTGGCGGGGCGGGGCCCTCCGATAAAAATAATTCCAAGCTTGCCCTGCCCTGCCGTGCCTCGCCCTGCCCGCGGCAGAACAACCGGCCGGTCTAAACTAAACCGGCCGACGGCCAGAGGCAGAGGCAGGGTGGCTCCGCAGCTCCGCGTTGCAGCGCGTGCGAGCCGTGCGTGCCGGTGCGTGCCCCGTGGCGCGGCGGCGTGGCCTGGTGTGCCCCCGGTCAGACAGACGCCACTCGCCTCGCCTCACATGCACATGTCGCCCCACTCCCCCGCCCCGCCGTGCCACGCCACGCCACGCCAGCTGTCACCGTTCGAAATGCCATCCATCAGAGATAATAAACGACGCCGGGCGCGGCAAAGGCGCGGCAAGGCACCTCGCAGTGTCTCAGGTGCGCCTCAGATTCACTTAATGCCTCCGCCCCGTTCCGCAACGTTTAATTCTCTGAGTCACCAGATTTAGGTGGCCGGCCCGGCCACCACACAGTCGGGGTGGAAGATGAATTGTTCTAGGAGCATGCCAAAAGGCTGCACTAAAATGGGGAGGAAGTATTTGCATTGTTGCAGCAACAAAGAGGGCACAATTGTCCTGGTGGGATTCTGGCAAATGCCAAGTAAACCAGGGCAGTCTCATTAATCTGCTTGAAAACATTTATGAAACAGCTGGCATGCGTCATGCTCACATCACTGTAATTTTCCAGGCCAACATTTTGTGCATCTGGAAATAATTTAAATTCGTTGCAAAAGAACTTAATAAAGAGCATTAATTATAAGTTAGTCTGAGACACCCCACACACAATATTGATATTCAATGGTCTTCTGTCTCAAAATGGCATCTGTTTGTAAAGCATTGCAAGACATTCCTCAACTGCGGGGCAATTTCAAAGAATGCCACTGTGTCATTCATGGTCAATATCTAACACTAACATAGATCACGTCACCATAAAATTTAAATATGCTAATAAAATAATTTTTTAAACAGAATAACTATTGCTATCTGTAAAATAAAAAGGGGGCATCCAACTGTCAAAAGCTTTTCACATATTAATTAAATAATTACATAAATGTAAACAACAAATAAAATAAGTTTGCGAACAAATAAACAGATGTAAACAAAAACTGACAGCAGACAGAACCATTAAATCCGGGGCCATGGGCTGAACGGAAATGAATTTAACATCGATCGAAAGACGATACTTGAATTCGACAGTTCTTGGAAATTGACGAGGGGAGAGATTCGAGCAGAAACAAAAGGGCACCCCTGCGCGAGCGTTCATGCCCTCAGCAGATGCATAACCTCTCAGGGCGGCCGACAACCCGCACACGCGAGCTGGTCGCGGAAATCAGACCACAGAACCCTCAAGCAATTAAAATACAGCTTCTGGGCCAACCCCGACATGTAAACCCTTTCCTTGCAACGACCCCAGAGGGAAATAACCTCAAAAGCAGCTGCCCTGCGCCCACATACTCTGACATGGCGACACAGGCAGACGGCAGACGGCTTGCCCAATCGAAAAGACGACGGCAACCAAACAACAAGGTTACACTCACTTTTCACTGTCCGATCCGAGGTGGACCCCTTCTGGTTGGCGTCGGACTTCATTCTGGACCGTTGTCACTGGCAACACACTTCCACATACGACAAGGGCGGCCCTTGAAAGTGTGACCCGAATCCGAACCGAATTCAATGACTCGCACTCGCCACTCGCCTGGCCGCGGAGCCGCGGGCACTTCGCACTACGACCGGGGACCTCGGGGACCTCGGGGAGCGCGGTGCATCAAAGTCAAAACTTCACTCTCGCGAAGCCCGTCGCCCGTCCCGCAGCCCGTGGCGTACACTACGGTCGCGGTGCCGTCGCCGTCGCCACTCGTCCCCGTCCCCGTCACTCCACTCCGCGTACCAACACAACACAGCCGAACTGAAGCGAACCGAACCGAACCGAACGCGGCGCCTCGCGAAGCTGCGCGGCGCGGGCGCGGACTTGCGTTGCGTTTCTCGTCGGGACACACAGATGTTACTTGGGCCCTTCCCTTCCCTTCTCCTCCGCCGTGCGCGGGGCTCGGGTACTCGGACGGGGCGGACGACGGACTGCTCGCGAAGCGCGAAGCGCGAAGCACGCCAAGCAATGCCGACGCCTCCTCGAGGTCGAGCGGTACTACGACAAGTCCGCGGTGCGGGGCGCGGAGTATCGCCGACAGGCCCGACACCGATGCCGCGGGATGTCGCCGACGGCGTCCTGGGACAGCTACAGCCGCTACAGCAGCGCGACCACGGCCAGGACGTGCTGCGTGACACGACAAGACGGACACCGCGGCGGCGGGGGCGGAGCGCGGAGCCGAGCGAGCAGCGAGCCACGTGGGGGTGTGGCGGGGCGTGGCGCCGAGTGGCGGCTCGGCTTCCCCGAGCACGTGCGCCACGTCGCGTCGGCCACCCCGTGACACCCGCCACCTCCGCCACCCACCCCGTGGGCTCATCGATCGCCTCCGCGCCCAGCCCTTCCCAGCCCAGGCCCAGGGGGAGGCAAGGGGCGAGGGGCGCCGGTCGCGCACGGGCCCGGGTTCGAATACCCGCGCCGCCCCAAGGCCCCGACCACTTTCCGGCCTGCCCAGCAACACCTAGCAACACCGCGACCCATGGGGAATGACCGCCGCGCGCTCCTTTGCCTTTCACGGACGAGGACGTGTTCAAAATTAATGCTGTGATTATTTTGTATTAGACAGTGGACAGCCAACGGGAATGAAAAGAAGACACCTGTCTGTTTTGAAAAACATATCTATTGGAATTTTTTTTTTTTTACACGGATTGAAAAAAAAAACGCCATTGATTGAAAGAAAGTTGGGAAAAATAGAATTTTACACTTATTTGTGAACACAGATATCATCATGACAAAAATTAATTAATCCGGCACATAATGCTATTGAAAATGTAAATCCTAGCCAAAGTGCCAAGCTTTACACAAATTTTGACTTGAGCTTATGAGTTTTGTTCAAAGTAAAGCCCTTACTTTAACAGTCATTTTGTGACAATCAACCTTACAGGTAAGGTGATAAACACTATTATCTGATCAATTGAAAGCTATCATATTCAGAGTGAAAACACAAAAAATGCTGTGAGGATTTGAAAGTAGCCAATTTCAAAACTAAGAAATCATATTATATGGTAGGCCTTACACAGTATTACACTTGATTCAAGCTGATCATTATCACAAAAAAAATTCTATCACACAAGTTTTTTCTTTAGAAAAAATAAGTGCACTCTATCATGCCACAACAAGTACTCACACATTCAAACATACACACTAACATTCACAAACAAGAATACATAAAAAACAAACAGACAATGTACAGACAATATTCACTCTAAACCACCACAGTGAATAATACAATAAAATAAAAGGAACAATGACTTGGAATAGGAATAAAGGCAGCACTAATGGAGATTCTATTGAAAATGTACAGCTTGACGATTTGATCTTCTCAGCAACAACAGCTCCAATGTTAACGGTTTGGCCTCGCCTTAATACTCTCTCTCAGTCATCAAACATCATAGACACAACAAAAATCAAAAAATATCACAAATCTCCAAGTAATTAGAGGTGAAAAGCACAGAAAAACCGAGGTGGAATAAGAGAGAAACAGTGGGTACAGCTTTGAACATATCCTTAAAACTAAGTTTTATTAAATACATGGGTTGTTTTCTCTGCATCCCTTGAACAAAAAAGGAAAAACTATTGTACATTGCCAGACTAACTTTAACTTTTCTTGACTGCCAAAAGGACACACACCCAATAAATAATGTGTCAAGTGAGTTTATGGATAAGGAACATTCAGGATCCATAGTCTTCATCAATCACAAAGTCTGATGTACTCTCCTCGGCGTTCATGACAGTGTCCTTTTCTGATTCAGATGACTCCGAATCTTCTGACTCCTTATCTTCATTATTTTCCATGTCTTGCTTCTCTTGTTGATTGGCAGTTCTGTATCTTCTACCAGTAAAGGAACTACCAAAAAAGGACCAAATTTAATTAAAGGATGATAAGCACAACAGACAGTGAAATCAGTGTGATATATCTTATTTGGAGAGCTCACCTCAATGATTCTTCGTTAGCAGGAGCAGTGTTTGACACCGACGCAGCTCCATCTTCATCAAATGTGTTGACATCGGGTAAGCTTCTTACCAGGTCTTTAAGGAAATGAAAGCGGCTGTTTGATATTATACACTGCTTCCTAAAATAAAATGGTTTCAGACAAAATTATCAATTTTCTACTGTTATTCCAGATGAATTTCAAATCATACCATAAGCAACATTTACTCACATGTGGGATGGACTGAGAGTCCGCGCATTTTTGGCGTTGGTCACAACTAAGGCGCTGTTCAGGAGTGATTGCACGAAAAGCTCTAAGGTTCGAGGTAAAATACTGTTAAGGATAACACATGAAACACAACATGAACACTTCAAGCTTAAGGATAACACATGAAACACAACATGAACACTTCAAGCTTAACATGAACACTGCAATGAGTAATGTGCAAGAGAATGTTTAGAAAGGATATAGATTATGATGGGTACAGCTTGAGCAACTTTTCCAACTTGTTCATCAGTTTGCATTATTTTCTTTATGCGTCCCTGCAACAAAAAGAAGCGATGTCTTGATAAAGGTGACACACGGAAAAATTCAGGTGATAAAAGGCGAAAACACACAGTGAACCACTTCAATATTAACCAGACCCTCTCATGAATGAAAATTATTGGTTCAGAATTGAAAATCCCTGCCCTAAATTTGATTTTTAAAATGCAAACAAATAAGGTATGTAAATTAGTTGACAGAACTTCCATGTACTTCGCAGCAAGTGTTTGGAGCGCCTCTACAAGTGTCCTAACCCACACACAACAACATCTGAAGTTTGAAATCAAATGGCGCGCAATGGAATTGGAGACTGTGTGGTCCATCTAGTGCCCATGTTAACTTTTCATGTGCAGATGGTATATATTTAAGAACTAAATAAGAACAATAGTACAAAGCTTGACATATTGAAACTACTGGTGACAGGGTTCAACAACACGAAACTAATGAGACTACCGTTAAGTTCTTACCGCTGGAAATCTTGCATTGTATTTTCTACGCTTGCTTGGCATTTTCATTAGATATTAAACTTGATTTAAAGTAAAACGTGTATTTTCCTCTCCATTCAATAAAAACAATCCATTTACATTTACATTCGCCTCGCTAACATAACGAAAGCACAGAGTATGAGAAATTGCGTACTGAACGAGGACAGCAGTCCGGAGTTTACTTATAACTTTCCAGCCTTCTTCCTTTATCAAATACATTGATGCAAAAAAGCGATAAGAAGACAAAAATACGAGATAATTAGAGTGACATTGATGATGGTGTTAGTTTTTTAGTGGTGGCTAGCCTGTAATGGATGAAAAATTTAAAATGCCCTTTTGAAACTTGTTTTGGCGGGGCTTATGAGTTCCTTCGGGTGACATTCCCTTTCTGCATGTACGGAGGGCCGTCCTTTTCAGGTACAACCACTTGCTGGGACTAACTGGCAATATAAAAGTTTGAACTGCGACACATTACCACTACGTCAGCGCTGCAAAGAGAACAAACAGAACTCCCGAAGGACTTCCCCGTCCCATAGTGCACGGAAATTGGCGGGGCGCAGTCTAAATTTTGCTGTACCTTCTCGTCCTTGGATTCAGAATTCAGAGACGGAAGGCCGCGCGGAACGCGGTTACTAGACTCTATCCCTCACGGGTGCATGTGCCTACGCGAGGAAAATCACGACCCACTCCGAAGGGGTGGCAGATGGTCTCCGTACAGCCTGCCGACCGAGGGAGAGGAACCCCCGCAAGATCAAGTCGAAGGTCGCAGCGTCGCAGGAAAATTTATCGGATGTCAAGCGAACAGCTGATTCCTGCCATTCCCATGAGCCTAGCCCCGCTCGGGGCTTGACAGTCGGGGCTATTTCTGCGCCTAGCGCCCCCAACCCCCCGCACCGCACCGCACCGCCACCGTCCGTTCGCGTCTGCGTGCCTGCGGATGCGGGGTTGTTGCTGTTGCGTAGAACACCAAAGTCGGCTGCTAGGTTGTCTGGGGCAGCTGGCTATTTCACTTGCCGTCGCGATACTCTACCATATTCCCCCAAAATGTTTAGTTGAACTGACTTGGGTCGCTGTAAAGTTTGTGGCGTTTAGTACGTAAGGAACCGAGAACAAAATGAAGAGGAACAAGATTTACGAGAAGAGCCTATTCCATTCAGCCTGCAACCTCCACTATGATGATATGTCAAGAGCGAAGTTATTCCGGAGCAGTAAAGGTTAGTGGTTCAATGCTTACGTCTATTTTAACGTTTCTTAACCTATCGAAATGGATCCACACGCATACTTTGTATTTCCATTTTCTTTGTTTTCAGTGATCCCAAGTTTATGGTTAAATTTTACTCATGATATCCGTGAATTAGTTTCCTTCAGTTTTGTTGTTTTCATCCCTTTGTGACAGCTTCTCATTTTTCTCTTCTTGCCTTGCTGAAATATTCTCGAGCTTGTTTGGCCTGCTCTGTTACGTGCTTCTCGTCATTGTTTCGATAAAGGTTTATTGAAACTTTAGGCTTACTTTCAAATTTACGATTAAAATCTTTTCTACTTATAATGTAGTGTCTTTGTCTTGTGTGGAATCAAAATTGAATGTAAAGTTTGCAATTCATCTTGATTTTTCATTTTATTGTTATGACATCTCTACATATATGGGGGGAATGTGAGTTTTAACTTGCTTGGATATTTGTGTTTCTAGCTGACGTGTCCATCTTACAACGAATGGGTTTGATAAAGAATCTGAGTGTACATTCAGGATGTGTCAACACTATATCATGGAATGAAACTGGGCAATACTTATTATCAGGCTCGGACGATCAACATTTGGTCATATCTAATGCATTCACACACAAGGTACTTATTACTTTATGTAAATCCTAGCAAATTGCGAATTTGTAACTACACAAGATATTTTGCTCAACAGGTGATTGAAACTTATAAAACTAGCCACCGAGCTAATATATTCAGTGCCAAATTTTTGCCTTGTATCAGAGACTCAAGAATTGTGTCTTGTTCAGGAGATGGAATACTATTGTACACTGGTAAGATTTCATTGATTTTGTATGAACTTCTTTTCAACTTTGTTTTATGTTTTCATTCGAAATCGTTTTTCAATGTCTTCTCTCTCTTCCCCCTAGATCTAATGTCAAAACAGCCAGTGTACAAACCTTTCAACTGTCATTGTGGAACTGCGTATGAGGTTGCCACTGTTCCTTTGGACCCACACTCCTTTCTAAGCTGTGGAGAGGATGGGACTGTCCGATGGTATGATCTTAGGATCAAGGATACCTGTAACAAAACAAACTGTCAAGAGGTCAGTGCAATTTTTGCTGTAAAATCGAGCACTGTATTGAGTTTAACTAAGAGGGAATGTAAATATTAGCAAGGAGTGCATTTTTTGCTTTCTGTATGTTTTATGTAGGATGTGATGATCCAATGTCAGCGAGCCGTAACAGCCATGTCTGTAAATGCCACGGCTCCTTTTGAACTAGCAATAGGATGTTCAGATAGTACTGTCCGTTTATTTGATCGGAGAATGCTGGGCACGAAATCTACTGGTAGGTTCAGTGTAGTCATCCTTTTTACATTTTTAAAATTAACAATTGTAAGTCCAAACTGGGAGCGTGTTCTTATCAGCTAATACTGTGTTCCAGGTATGAATATGAAACAGGCCGAGCCACTATGTGCCTTCACGGTCCCTACATTCAAGCGGGCTTACCGTATAACTTCACTCTGCTTTTCTCCTGAGGGTGAAGAGATCTTAGTGAGCTATTCATCTGATGACCTGTATCTCTTCAGTTTAAGGGTAATTAAAAATATTTTACACCATATGAGCTATTCACTGTGGCTCTATATCCTGCAGCTTTTCATGAAAATTATTTTCTTCTTCAGGGAAAGGGAAATACGCAGTTAAAGTCTCCATCAGCTTTGTGCCGGAAAGGTAAATTAAAACTCTCTGTAGCTGCTCCGACTCCTGTACGCCGGTTACGTTTGAGAGGGGACTGGTCAGACACTGGACCAGATGCTAGACCTGAGAGAGAAGCCGGAGGAAGGGGAGGTAAGTGCTTCTGAGCCATTGACGTTTTATATGTATTTCAGTTTAAGTCAACTTTAGAAACTCACTCCTCATTATGTCTTTTCCTCCCTTAGACATTGCACAGGCAAGGCCAACTCTACATACTCCTCTAATGCAACACCTCACTAATGTAATTTCACGTTTATTGAATGACCCTGCCACTCGAGCCGCACTTACCAGCGGCACTGATGATGCTGGAAGCGTTGAAGGTTCTCAAGGAACAGAAGTCACAGCAGGGACTGCAAATCCACACCCTCACAACATAGGAAATAGCAACAATGAAACCCAACAAGTTCCTCCTCCTACTCCATTTGAAAGCGATACTGAAGAAAACAATCAAGCTAATGATGGGGAAGAATCTGTCAACTTTCGACTATTTGAAGAACCTGGTACTTCGCATGCGTCCTTACCAAGCACCTCCCGAAATATTTCTATCCGTTCTGAGGAAGACAATGCTTTACCCTATGCAACACCTTTTGAATTCTGTGAAACACCATCTCCTGCCATAGAACAGCCTCAAACTGAGTATAAAATAGCTCCTCTTAAAGATCCAGATGATATCACTGATCAAAATGACGGGGAATCATCTAGTGGGTTGAGTATTTCAGATATTCCAGACCCCGAGCAAAATCGAAACATGAATACAGTATTAGAAACAAGTGCTTTAGTGGGTTCAGATTCTCAAAGCACTGGCGGCTCAAACCCGGCAAATGACAGTAGCACTGTAGTTGCCCAAAACAGTCACTCAGTTGCTTGCGACTCTGGCAGTGCTCAGCAAAGTAGAACTCAGAATGAAATGGAAGACAGTCATGCAGAGCAATCTTTCCAAACCTCAACGGGAATGTATGCTGAAGCAGGAATACATGAACATGATCTCGATACTCTACAGTCACGGCTTGTTGACATGAGAGAAGGATATATTGATAGGTGAGCACTTCTCAAGCCATTTTGAATTTAATCCACAAATTTGTGAAAAATGAGCGAGTGTTTGTGCTTTGTCTGTTTGTGAAGTAGGCATGGGGTTGAGCCTGGTGTCAGTCTCAGCTATTCCCATCTGGGAACAAACTCAAGTGTGATATCGCTGAGACCAGATGAAGGGACACCTGAGGGTGGTGCTCAAACTTCTAGTGGGTCAGTACCAAACAATGTTACTCCATCTTTTCCAACACCTGCAAATGATCAAGTAAGATGACTCTTTTTTCCTTCATTCTCTCTTTACAATTCCTCCTTATAACAAAAAGTTAATTACTGGTTCAAAAATTATATGTGCAACTTTTATTTCAGGGTACTCATTCTCAACCTCAACCTGAACCTGAGCCTGAACCTGGCCCCAGCACTCAAAACTTTGGGTCATCCTCAGAGTCGAATCCAGGTAAGGTTTCGATCTCAACTCGAATTCCTACACAGTGCACTCAAGATGTCATGGAAAGTGGACGCTTTCTTTTTCCCACACACTGAGAGAGGCTGTCTTGGCTCACACAGCATTCTATTTTTACCCCTGAGAACCATGACCTTTGAAAGAACAATGCTGCTTGGCTTGGACATATGCCAGCATACTACTCAAGGCTACTCTTACTATTATTAAACTGATTCCTTCCTGGTTTTCTCTGCCCAATGCTATTTCATCATGTGAATATAATTAGTGTATTAATTCTTTTCTGTGTTTGACTTGCAGAATCTTTGTTCAGTGACTATGATAGTGAGGAGGATGAAGAAGAATTAAGAAGAGAGCTCCGAAGGTGGGAAACATGGCACTAAAATAACTAGAGTGTTACAGTAAAATTCTAATCCTTTCTGTTCATGATTCTGTATTACAGTCGTATATCACCCCCTGCTTTAGAAAGTTTTCGGAGTAACCTTGAAATTCCATTCCCTGAAATCAAGCAGCAATACAGTGGGCATCGCAATGCAAGGTTTGTCTATCAACTAAGCCATTCTTCTACATTTGGATCCTGTACCAATTAACCTCTTAACTTAACTTAAATTGAACTAAAAGCATTTTAAATCATGAGTGTTGACTCCTTTAAGATTATTTCTTACTCACTTTGGGGGCCTCTAATTCATTTACCAAGAATTTATAATCCCCTTTCCAGTCTATATCTCACACTATATAGCCATCTTCTAGTCATTTCCAACAATTTTCCTATACTTATTTGTATGTAGAAAAAGAAATCATTTTTGCACACCAAAGAAAAAGGACATCATGTTCATGTTTTTCCTTCTCTTTCCTTGGTTCTGTTAAGAACAAGAACAGTTATCTCCTGACAACTAATGGCATAAACAGTTGCTCACGATCATCCCACCGACACTTAAAAAAAACACAGAAACCTTAAGTTTGGCTTCGTGGCATTCTTTTCTTCTTTCAATATTAAATGTACTTAATGAAATTCCTTTATTTTAAAAAAAATTATTGTTTAAACTTGTTTATGATTACAGCTTCTTTAATACAATATTATTGAAAGCTTAACATTTTAATTAACAACATCTTGAGTTTAAAGTCTACCCATCTGCCTGTCCCGCTCAGCAAAATCATTACTCTAAACTTAACTCCAGCCAGACATTTTCTTTTTAATCTTGCAACTAAAACATGAGCAATAATATTTGTCATCTGATTTTTTTTTCTCTCATTTCATATTTCTTTGCCTCCTCTCACCATGTTGTCATTTGGTATCCTGCTACCATTAAAACACTTTTTTTTCTCTATTGTCCTGCCCTTCATCAGAACTGAGATGTGAGTATTTTAGGTTTGTGTTAATTTTCTGTGTGGACATCTGAGAAATGCAATGTGGTATGCTCCAGCTCTTCGTACAAATCTGGCATAACCGGCTTTCACTGTAGTTGGTGCATTGTGTTTCAATTTTGGGTCTGTGACATACTGGAGTGGCACAAAACACTTGCATTTTGGTTTGCCAATAATGTTTGATGGACAAGACAACTGCTGTGAGATCCATTACTCAGTGGTGTTTGCTATCTGTATTTTTTTGAAAGCTAAATTTGTATTTGGATGTTACATCCTAACAGTTCTTTGAGACAGAACTCAGTTTTTTCTCTAAATTTCTTTTACAGCTACTGTACAGTGTGTATGTGTCTAGCAAAAAATTTGCTAGGTACCCAACATTTATGTATTTGCTGGTTTATGCAGAATGGAGCAGAAAATCATTATGCACAGGGTTCTAAAAATTCATTTTTGTCATTAAACCTATATATAGTCTAAATATAACTCATGCATGATGAGATGAGTGTGCCGCTTTGAAACTTGTTTGCTAGCCCTAGAAAACAATGGGGAGTGTTTCCAGCGAAAAAGAGTTTATGCTACTCAGAAAATGTACTTCATGGTCATGGAATTACCATTATTGTGTTATTTTTCGATTTTTGTCTCTCACTCTCTTTTCTTTTCTGATGACCCCCTCTCCTTTTGTGTCCCAAACAGAACTGTGTGTACAAATGGTGTGCAAGAATGATTTGATATTTTTTTATTTTTTTTGTTTGAGCCGACTTTTGCTGCTTAGCAAATCATTATATCCCATGAATCCTCATCTCTCCTGTATCCAGACACAGTCAATACATTATACTTGGAACCTAAATTTTTCAGGACGATGATAAAAGAGGCGACTTTCTGGGGCTCTGATTATGTCATGTCTGGCTCCGACTGTGGTCACGTCTTTGTTTGGGATCGAGTAACTGCCAAACTTGTGATGCTGCTCCAAGCTGATCAGCATGTGGTGAACTGCCTTCAACCACATCCGACTGAACCCATGCTGGCTACCTCGGGTATTGATCATGATGTTAAGCTTTGGGCACCTATTGGAGAAGGATCACAGTTTGATCAAAGCTTAGCTGATGAGGTATGTTGTCTTTATTAATTTTCATTATAGTCGCCTGCCCCTTTTTCTACTCAGTGGGATATTTTGTAATGTGTTCATTTGTCCTACTTTCAATTTTAGATTGTAAAGAGAAATGCATTGATGCTTGAAGAAACAAGAGACACCATTACAGTGCCAGCTTCGTTCATGATACGTATGGTAGCCTGTTTGAATCAAATCAGAAGAGGTGAGTCTACTTGTCTCATGGACTTATTTTTAGAAACAAATTTATGAGCTAACTATGCTTCTGTCTTCAACTACCTCACATTATTATTCTGTTGCAGGTGGTCGGTCCAGACCAAGAAGGAGAGGACAAGAATCTCAAGGATCTCAAGATGAGGGCTGAATCATTGATTAAAAAGACAGAATAAGAACCAGGAATCTATAGTTTCTTTGGCTAATTCATAAGTAATGGCTTTCAAATCATACCTGAAATTACCTCTCCCTCTTTCTTATTTTAGATAGAATGGAGAGATTGGAGAGTTAACTTGTTAGTGTGTTGGGCTGTGCTGTGTTTTCTTCTGGGAAAACAATCTAGATTGTTTCATATTATTTGCAAATACTTTTAAAATACTTTTAAAATATTGTTTTTCCTACCCACACCTTGAACAGCCACTATTTAATTAGAGTTTCAAGTTTGACTTTTCAGGGTCCGTACCTTATACAGGTGCATAACAAAATTCTCTTGGAAAACTGTACAATCTGTGTGGTGATACATAGTTACTTTATTGTTATTTTGTTCGTCAGCTATGGTACTGACATGAATGCCTGTTTGTGTTAGTTGTTTACATCAGGCATGGAATCGGATATTTGTAGTTTTCCTTTTATTTATTTTGAACATTCCGTTACACATAGAATACATTTGATCTGATCAGTTTATGTGAAAGATTGACAGTACGAATATCGGGTAGAATTTGGCACCATGTAGGTCAAGTACAGCAAATGGTTTTTAAAAGAAAAATTTGATCTTGTGCATTAGTTTTACAGTCTATCAAATACAAGGAAAATTCCGATTCCTCCAGAGCTTGAAATGTCTAGCACCAAGGGGTTCTTATTAGTAGATCCATACACAAGGGTAGTCATTGAGGATTTAGAAGGCAATGTGGTGAAATCAATGTCACTAGCTCAAGCTTCATTTTCCATTCGTACGTATAAAATGAATTTTTTATCTGTTGTAGAAAATTTTATCTTGACTTATGCATTTGGAGTTTTGACTACGTAGACACTTCGCACTTTCTAAAATTCTAGGCTTACTATTCCACATCTTTGAATTTCCTGTGTGAGACAATACATACTTATGTGTGCTGTTCATGGCCAGGGGTGCATTGTATTTAAATATGACTTTGTTAGATTTGTGATTTCTATGTTACACTCTGTTCTTTAGGGAAAAGAGTAGCTGATTGTTGAATGTTCTGTTAGAGTTTACAATTGCATTTCATAAGCAATTATAAGGATAAAGTTTCCGCCAGGATGTGTAAATACGTAAAATTTTATATGGGCTATTGAGTAGATGCTTCTGGTATCTGCCTCCCTCTCCATTCTAAATACTTTACAACTAATTCTGATTAGGTGAAATCTTAACATAAGAAATTTTTGCAAGACAAGTTTCCTGCTGTATTGTTATTATTCATATCAGACTCTGATTTCATTTGGACGTGAAGAATTACATGGAGTGAATTTTAATGTGAGTTATGACAAGTTCGTTTTGTGTTCCCATAAGTCTTTTGTCTGTACATACAGGTGTTTTTTCTGTTGCATAAATAGTTGAGCTGTGATTCTATTTATGTCTTTTTCTTAAGCTTGATCGAACTAGTCATCACTGTGTTGTATGAAAAACATGGATTATCTTGATTGATTTTGAGAAATAAGAACAAATGTTCAACTTTTTATCAATGATATTTTAATTTGCCTTCAGTTAACCTCATTAATAAAATTCCTTAAACATAAGGAAATAAGATTTAAATTAGAACAATTGCAGTCATACATAAATAATTATCTTCCTATATAATATCAGGTACCCAATGTCAGTGGTAAGAACAAAGAAGAAGAAACCCTGAGTGTCATGTGCTCAAGGATTTGATTTCCATTTCACTAGACATAATATCCCATCCCACATGGCAGTCTGTCTAATTTCCCCAAAAGTGACTAGATTCACAGCCTTGATCAAACCAAAACTTGAACAATAAATAACAACATACACTCAAAATTTGCAAAAGTAAACACCGGTTGAAAGTTCTGAGTTAAGAAATAAAGCTTAAGCAAGACAACAAGTAAATTGATTGCAATTAGTAGAAAATTTTGAACGTATTGAAATAAACAAAATTAAGTTAAAAACAAACCAAACACCGAGCTAAAAGTGGCTCTCAACTGGATGGACGGCAGTTACATAGCTGATTATTCTACATTAGAATTGTCAAAGTCTCAACTCATCCTCGGATTCAGACACAAGCAGATGTTGGTTTTCTACATCATTCCTGGAAACAGATAAGTGCATACAGTCAACTGTAAAAATATCATCCCAGATCCTGCAGATAGAAAACTTGAGGGAATAAATAAAAATGATGCGATGTGAGGTTTAGGAAGATGATCGGTGACGGGATGGGCGGGAAATGGTAGAAAGGCGGTGGCACAGGCAGGGGCAAGGGGGTCGGGCTAGGGGTAATTGACAGGGGCTAAGAAAGGGGCAAAGAAAATTAAAAAGGAAAGTTTCGCATGCAGGGAGAGCACAGTTGAGCTTCAAAATAATTTTGATGTAAGTGGTGTCTTACCTCTGAACTTGAGGAATTATGGGCTCGGATGTTCTATGCGATAGACTTCTACAAAACAGAGCAACAACTCCTGTGATAACAATTATAAGTGTCACAGCAATCAAACCTGCAACTGCAGATGAAGGGTAAGATTTTGTTTTCACGAAAATCCAACTCCAGCAATTGAGTTAGTTCAGATACTTACACCAGTACGTCCATATTGGTGCTCCAGCATTCAATTGGCCTCTTGTCGTGTTAAAAGGCACCTGCAGTACAACATTCGGTTTTGTTATTGCTGGATTGAATTTGCCCACAGATGAGGTACTTGAGCGCAGCATACTGAAATTGGGCCTGGAGTAAACTTCATGCTCCAACTCCAGGTTCAATATGTAAGCCCACAAAGGATACAATTGTGTATTATTAAAGGGGTCTAGCACCATTCCAGATTTTACTAAGGGTCCCCAAGCAAAAAATACTGGAAACATAGACAAGACTGAATTGCTATATCCATGAATACCATATTTGTTTCTTGGGTTGGCTGAAAAAAAGAGAGACAAAAATTATACTATGCAAAATGAAGTTAGTATTTGGAGCCAAAGGAGTGAAAATCGATATTACGTTCAATGTCAAATCTTTTGTTCTCCGCATCAATATTTTTGTAGAAATCTTGAAATGCAAAGCCTTCATTGGCAACCACTAAAATTGGGGGTGTCCGGTTGTTAGCAGCGTAATGCCATTCACTGGGAATATCTTCACGAGTATACACATTGAATTTATTTTTATGGTCTGAATGTGCCTTCTTCAAACCAGACAATACATCCCATTCCTTTCCTGGATGAAATAAAAGGTGAGTAACGGCATTACAAACTGATACTTGAAATATGTCAGAAAGATGGCGTACCTTCACTTGGGAAAATTTGGAGCACTGGGGAATACCCAGCCATCACATACGTTGAGTTATCAACATAACGGTTCAGATCTATTATGTTGTTTTGGTTGAGATTCACCATGCCATGATCGCTCAGAGCAAACACAGTAACAAGTTCATCAAGACCGTGCTTCTTGAGCTGTTGAAAAATATAATCCAAAGACCTATCCAATCGCTTGACCTGATCACGAACTTCAAGTGAATCAATGCCAAATGCGTGTCCATGAAAGTCTGGCTCTTCAAAGTACAGCATAACTAAATTTGCTGGTGTTTCCTTATGAGTGAACCATGACATCACAGCATCGACACGATCTTGATAAGAAGTATTGAGGTTCCATTTCTGAGAAAATGTTGGCGTGGTTTTCTTACAGCCATATGGAAATTCACCTCCTGGCCACATCATAACTCCACTGTGTCGCCCCTTGCCAGCAAGTTGATTCAAAGTCTGAAAAGAAGACGAAAGGTGGAATGATCACATTGTTACGAAGGCAGCCAACAGTAGGTCATTGTAAATCATGGTATTAAGAAAGTCTAAGTCAAAATTACCCATATGGGAAGGATGTCATTGTTATAGTGGTATAATTCATAGCTGTATCCAATGAGAGTGCGATTGGAACAGCAGCTATCTTTTGAAGTGTACACAGTGCTATCCAACACGCCATGGACTTCTGGAAATACTCCAGTCGCAATGCTGTGATGGTTGGGAAAGGTTTTGGTCGGGAAGACGTTCCTTATGTAGGGAGCATAAACACCAGAGCTGCGCAACTTGACAATTGTTGGAGTTAAGCAATCATCAACATAGCCTGGTCTAAATGCATCCATAGAAATGATTAAAAGCTTGGGGTACTTGGAAACAGCCTCAACTGTTAAGTGGGCCCCATAGAAAAATGTGAAGAAGGAGGTCCACACAAGGAACACATAGTTAACTATCATGGTACCCGGCCAGTTACTTCTAGATCTCTAACAATTCATTGGACATATGGGAAAGCACTAGTTTGTTATTATTTACAAACTCTCACTAGAAAACAAATGAGGACCAGCCAGACAAGAGATAGCGGCACCAACTGTGTCGATGAATGATTGAATGAATGAATCAATAAACAACTTGAAATAAGGCAAATATCAGGTCCTTAATTTTAAAAATTATATTGGTTTGTTTCTTTTTTCTATGAATCGGGCATTGATCAATAAGTCTTTGAATTCGACATACCATTTGCTTAAATTTTTGTTTTCCGTAAGTTTGTTTGGAAACCCACAGCAGAATGCGTCGGCTGTCTGCTGTTTACAACTACAGCTCTCTCCAACTGCACTGGGAACAAACAGAGGAAAACCATGAATTCTTAAGGTTTAGACATAAAGGAGCTTCTACTTGATTCTCAGGATCCTTTCAGAACTGCTTGTATAGATTTTGCGACTAGACGATGAAAGCTTTATGCTCCTGTCATCGAGCAAGCCCCAGTGTCAGACACACCTAGTTCAGCTACACCCACCACCAGACGGTCTGCTGGGTGTTGGGTCAGTCCCAGGCAGCAGGCAGCAGGCAGGTCCCAGGTTTTCTTTTGGAATGGAAAGATGAGGAGATGATAAATTTCGGAAACTTGGAACAGGTGCATATCATTTCACAAACAGCTGTAATTTTCCTCTTCTTTTAAGACTTTGACGCTATTGTAACAGCAATACTTCAATGGGCACTTGTTTGGGCCATTGTTTTGGTTCTAATCCAAGGTAAGCATGATACTTTTATCAAACTATCCTTTTTGGTTTCAAGTTGGATGCATATCGCAAAAGCTTCTAGCTGCTATGCTAAACAAACATGTGGTTACAGAACTGTTATTTCTTGCAGGAGACATGAAAAATGTCATTCATTATATTGTTCTAAAACAGATTATGTGCAGGTGAGAAATAGGGTACGAAACGTATATCAATGTCGCCTTCTGAATCGTAAATGTCTAAACTAATGCAAATGCTTTTATTTTTCCAGTTTGGGGCTCTTAACAATAATAGCACGGTAATATTATACCCTGCATTAAATTTTTCTCTGTATTTTCAGGAGCAGGAATCGTAACTTGGTTTGTTTTTTGTCTCAGATTTTCAACAGACAAACCTACATCCCATCAAGGTGCGAACAGACCTTCTTTCCATCAAGGTACAAACAGAATAAAATTTATTTAATTAAGTTTAATCCTTACCAAGTTGCAAATTTTGAACAGTAAAATTTACTAGTTCCAGTTTGATTAGTCATACCATAGTTACGATATATTGCTCTAATTTAGTCTTCCTTGTTTTGAAAAACTTGATTGTTATTTTCATTTGGAATGCAGCCTATCATCAATCTTTTCCATGACAAGGAGAAAGGTATGCCACAAGTGGCAGTTTGATTTTCCCTTTGGACACAGTAGATTATTTTTTGATGTGTTTGCTATGCTGTATTAAAAATATAAAAATATGTTTCTTCTTCTAAGTTGTTTGCAAGACCAATCTACCAAAGATCTCAAAAGCTTTGTTTTTCTTCATGTTGCTAGGAGCAGCGGGAAGGACATGTGTCACTTGAACTCATTGAGAATTCCTGCTCACTGCAGTTTTGTGACCGTTATGTGGCAGAAACATGTGTTCCATACCGCCATCACCTAGATATGGAGTAAGTGTGGGCCATCATGCAGATTTGTACTATTGATCCAGGGCACTGTCCTCTTATTGGACTTCTGTGTTTAATTCCAGGACATCATCAGATCAGGCCTTCCAGTGCCTTGATGCAAAGGCCCTTGTAGCACCCTCAAATTATGTAGGGTTCACGTTGGCGCAGGAAAATAAAAGCTTAAACACGACTCCCCCTAGTTCACTGGATCTAGAATGGGAGCATGAAGGTATATTTCTGTTTTAAATTTTTTATTTTTCATGGAATGTTATAGAATTTTGCCTAATATCATTATTTTTTTTTTCTTTTTTATGCAGCCTTATGCCATCCTCGATCTGTCAGGGACGAAGAAGAAGATTCTGATTCTACAGCGGCAACTTCAATCAATCATTCCCGAAACCGGCCATATTACAAGTCACTTCACGCAAGAGCCTGTGTGGGAAGCAGACAAGGAAGTCTGACTCAAGACTCCTCTACTGGAAGTAAAGAAGGATCAAGAATGACTACTCCAGATTCTCTTGAATGGGATTTTGTGGATTCTTCTATTCCAACCATTGATCAAGAAACAGAGCAGTTAATAGCGGAAATAGAACGTTTAGCAGCAAATGCACTAGAAGAAACAGGTAATTATAGTTTGGATGTGCAAAGAGGATCTTTATCTGACGGTGATGAAAATTGAAAACTGGCCTACTTTTTCAAAATTTCAGCTTCTTGGGGCTGTTAGTGTATTTTGATTTCCTTTAACGTACTTGCACTTTAGGCACAGAAAGCAATAGGTACCTTTTTACTCGTTCTGTTTGTCTGAGCATATTGGTTGTGTTAAAATAATGTGAAAACACTTTAAGTAATCTCATTTTTTTCTGAGAAATTGGAAACAATGTCTTATCTTTATTCATTGTATTTTCTGTGATTAGCTTCATTCACATGCTTCCATACATATCATTAGTGTATGACTTATATTTAAAATTAGACTGTAACTGCCAAAACCAAAAATTATTGCGTCTGTCTCTCAGTTGTTTGTTCCTTGCCTAATTTATTTTTAAGTTTTAATTCTAAGGTTTGTCATTTAAATTCAAAACTAAACCTAAATTTTTTACGGATATCATTAAGACCTGATTCTTATTTCATTTTCAAAATTGTGCCAAGGGACCAACATAAATAGAATTTATCAATTAAAAACTATATGAAAATTGAATTGTGATGGAAAGTTGCTGGATCAAATGTTCGTTAGATCCAGTTTAGAGCACCTTTTGATATTTTGTGTTTGCCAATAAGTCTGTGTATAATTGTGTCAAAGCATCATAATAGAGGTAGCCAGAGAGGTCCTCTCTGGAGGTAGCTAGGGAAAACATATAGTGTTGGTATTATTCTGGGTGAGGATTTTCAGGAGTGGAAAACAAAATTAGAATTCAGGAGTCATAGAATTTTTTGTTCTCATTTGTAACTTCCTGGTTGCCATATCCTAACACAACCCACGACCATCCGGGAATTCCCCCGAAAGCTTCGTGGGCTCCTTCAGACACTCTTTTTATCAACGTTTCATCCGCATTCCGAAGTATTACTTGTAGTCTGTCAAACAAAATGTCAAAAAAAGGACTCAATAAAAAAATATATGTGTATTTTAATTTTTCACTTGTTCTTCTTGTTGATGGTGCTGTTGACCTCCTCCTCGGAGATGGCGAACTCCATCTTGTCGTCGCGGTAGGCCTTGGGGTTCTCGAGGTGGCGCTCCTTCAGGTCCTGGGCCAGCTCCTCCCTGGTGGCCTCGCCCAGGGACTTGCCCTGCCCGTAGAACGTGTCTTCCCTGTAGATGCGGTCCTTTCGCCGGTACGTCCCGTGGAGCTGCAAAAGAACCGGCTTCAGATCGCGACAACAAACTTCCGACCCATTTGACTGCTTCCCCCACCCAGGGGCGGCTCTAGGCAAAATGTGCTCTCCCCCCCTCCCCTAAACGGCCGGCTCCACGCCTCTTACCTTGTCCCAGAGGAAGCAGTTGAAGCCGAAGTTGACGTGGAAGTACTGGTGGTGGTTGTCGTGGAAGATGGCATCGGGCTGCCAGGGCTGCCACCAGTACGCCTTGAAGTTGATGCCCGAGTGGTCGATGATGCCGTGGTAGTAGGTGTAGAGCACGATGATGTAGAACGGGCCCCAGTGCACGGGGATGGTGAACAGGGGCAGGCTCAGCGTCATCTGGATGTGCAGCACCTCCACGGGGTGGATGGCGGTCACCGAGAAGGCCGTCGGGTGCTTGTAGGTGTGGTGCAGCTTGTGGAAGTGCTTGTAGAGCCACGGGGTGTGGTACATCCGGTGCAGCCAGTACGTCACGTAGTCCTGCGAGCGAAAGCCTTTCAGCGCGGGCAGCATTTCCGGTGGCCGCAGCTTTTGTGTGTGGGGGGGGTAAAAACCCCATGTTTTCGTGTGTTTCGGTCGTTACCTGGTACAGGAAGATGACGGGGAACTGGAGGAGGACCCAGGCGTAGCCGTACTCGCCGATGTCGTAGTAGACCGAGCTGTAGCCGCCGTTGGTGATCCAGCAGGTGAGGAAGGCCGAGAAGGAGCCGGTGACGAGCAGCGCCAGGGACCCCACCTTGATCTCGTGCAGCTCCAGCTCCGGGCTGAGCCACGAGTTGGGCTGGCACTTCCACTCCTCGGCGCTGGCGCGTTGCCGCACGTAGAAGTACCACTGGGGACCGAGTGCACGCCGTTAGGAATCGACAACAACAACAACAACAACGACATAACATAAAAGAACGAAAACAAAAACAAAAACGACAGTTTCCAGTCGGCCTGGCCGGTGCTCGAACCCGCGCACTCGGGACTCACGTGCAAGAAGCCGCCGATGCCGAAGTACAGCGCGTACGAGACGAGGTTGGACGAGATGAGGAAGTAGGGGAGGTCCTTGAAGCGCACGTCGAGGAACTCCTTGATGGAGGAGTAGGTGCGGGCCTCGGACGTGGGCGTCAGGCCGAGTTGGCGTCTCGCGTGCGTGAAGATGGCCATGGACTCGCCTGGTAGGGGGATGAAAATGGAGATCAGGGTTCGGCTTCAACGGACGAACGAACGCGAACCGCAAGCGGATGGCATCAGCCTCGACACCGTAGACACCGGACGGAGCGCCCGCAGACCGCGGGATAGGCCGACCCGCAGCACAGCAGAGCGTTGCGTGGCTGCCTACCCGCCGTTCCGCGGGCGCTCCGGGTCGGGGGAGAGAGCCGCGGAAGGATTCCACTCTCTGGGAGACAGAAGATTCATTTTTTTGTTGTGTTCGTTTGGCTGCCGGACGCGGGAAGCAGGCCAGTCAAGTGGGCGCGAGGACAGATGCCCTGGACATTGGACAATCGGGGACATCCCTATCGGAGTTCGCACTGGCGGGGAAGTTAATCAGCTCCTCCACTGCATCCTCCCCCTTCCCCCGCTTTCCACCCGCCAAGACAAAGAGCGCCTTCTTTGGTCGTGTTTTTTTCTCATTACGATTATCTGCTCGGACTGGTTCAGCTGCACGCGTGTAGAGGAGGTCTTGTACAGACGCCTGCCGGTGTGCGACATTTCAAGGGTCGACGGCGTCCGGGTTGGGGGTGGAGTGGGGGTGGGGGTGGCGCCACGCAGAAGGTCGCGGAACCGTAAGGAGGGCAGGACGCGTTACCCTAAAAGACTGCGTGCCGTTATTAACGCGTTAAAGGTAACGCCGTTGTACGTAAAAGCCTGATCCTCAGGCGGAATAGTGTGGATCCACCACTCACCGCGTTCAATCAAACGCCATGACAGTAATTATTCTTTTAACGCGCGCCGTCGCGCTCTTTGGTGGCCGTTGCTCGGCGCAGGGTCGTCCGAACTTTGTGCCGGTGATTTATAATCTTGTTCGAAGCACTTGGCGGCCACCTGGCACTCGAAGATTGCAAAAGATAGGCGAGATAGGTACTGTATTCGTGCACGGTGCACCGAAGCGGCACGCGGCCGGGACGGCGGGCTCGAACTTCGGGGTGAGAGGGCAAACGGTGTCCGAGGTGGAGGTCGAGAGTTTTGTCGTTTTGGCACGAGTTTTCGGAATGAGTCTCCAGCCGGCGAGCGCGGCCAGCTGCGCGGCACTTCCTCCGATAGGCCGGCCGGTCTGGAGGCAGTCCGTGCAGCGAGCCTTGCAGCGAGCCGCCTTGCTTGAGGCCCTGCCCGGGGCCCTGCCCGGGGCCCTGCCCGGGGCCCTGCCCGGGGCCCTGCCCGGGGCCCTGCCCGGGGCCCTGCCCGGGGCCCTGCTCGGCGGAGCCATGCGGAGCCCGACCACCCGACCACCACAACACTGGGCTGGGGGTTTCCTTAGTCATGCGGTTACTAATAAATAAAAATTAGAGGAACCGCCATCAACTCGTCAGACCAAAAGGAACTCGAAAGGGCCCATCAGGCGCGGCAGAGGGGATGTCCGTTACCGCCAGAGGGGGAAGGAAAACAACCATGACACTGCGCCTGGAGCCCCAGGCAAAAGGTGTGACATGGTCCTTTCCGGAAAATCCCAGAGCCACCTCAGGATCTCGCCCACTGCACTCGCGCAGCGGACAAGCTGACGTGATCAGTGTTCGCGCGGACTCGGGCGAGACGCCGCCGCTCAGAACGGCGTGTGTCATGTGCAAAATCCGCGGCGTTCCGTTCTGGAGCGACGGAACGATCCGTCGGAACGAGACGGACCGCAGCGTGCCACAGCGCGATGTGCGCCTGCACTCGCAAGTGCAGGGGACCTCGCGGGCCTACTGGTGTACTCACCGCTCATGGCCATGCCGACGACGAAGACGGCGGCCATGACGAGGGTCCTCTTGAGCACGATGGGCACGCGCACCCAGGCCTTCTCCAGGCCCTCGTTGTAGTTCTCGCTCCAGGTGAGCGACATGGGGTTCCAGGCCTTGGCGACCTTGCTGTCGGGGAGCCTGGCCCCGGCGGGGGCCTCGGCCTCGCAGCCCGCGAGGACGGGCTCGCTGATTCGGGGCGCCATGCTGGACGCGCCCGACTCACTAGGGGGTCCCTCGAGAGGGACACTGCTTATGAACGTGGCTTCTGTCTGCGCGCTCCGATGCGGAGATAGAGGCAGCAGAGATTGCGGCCATTCAATTTGCCGGTGCCGGATTATTGTTTTTGTTTTTGATTTTTTTTTTTCGCACGCTGATGTTGATTTAATCCGATCGGGATGCCCGATAGTGGGAGCGGTGAGTGCGGACGAGTGGTTCCGAAGGATTGTCCTTGTCCTTGTCGCACTCAGGGCGCGTCCCGTGGGCCGTGGGGGTGCGAGGGAGACGGGGGCGGCGCGACCAACCGGTCCTTCGGACTCGCTCTGCAAGGCTGCGGGTCGGCCGCGCTCCAGATCTGCGATCGGGGCGCTCGGGCGGTGTGCAACGGTGCAGCTGTGCAGCCCCCCGCGGCCTGGGGTTTGGTTTGGGGCTGTACGGCCAGCCTTGCCAGCGCCGCGCAGAGTAGCGCCGAGTAGTACAGTCGCCGACATCGCCTTCGTCGTTCTTCGAGTGCGTTGGCCGGTAACGCCGCGCGATGGGTTGCCTACCTCACGGGGACATCTGCCGCCACTCCGCCGCTCGACTCAACGGCCTACAGTGGGCCAAACGACCGGGGAGGCAGCCAAAACTCTAGACGCGTTTTAAGCTCCAGTCGCTAAACAGGACCCGACCCGAACGTGTGACCCCACCAATGGATTCCTCGTTCGGAGAGCAATCCATTGGTGGGGTCACACGTTCGGTTCGAGTCCCATTGAGCGACTCTGGAGCTCAAAACGCGCCTAGAGTTTTGGCCGCCCCCACCGATCGTGTGGCCCACTGTGCGGCCCGCGCATTTGTCGCTCCGTCTCTCTCGCACCCCTGCGGGTCGACGGCACAGTGCAAACGAGAGAGAGAGAGAGAGAGAGAGAGAGAGAGAGAGAGAGAGAGAGAGAGAGAGAGAGAGAGAGAGAGAGATCGGCGCACAGCGGAACCGTTCAGCAGCCCGGCCGAGATACGGCAGCCCGCGGCCCGCCTACGAGTTGATAGATGGGGCCCGGAGTCAATCGGGGGAATTGGAAGGGAGGGACAGGGTTGGGGGAGGCGGAGGGGAGCGGGTGGATAGGGGCGGAATCCAGGGCGGATTGGGGTCTACGGAAGATAAAGGTCAGCTTTCGATGTCAGGCTGAGGGGTTGGTCTGGTGGGGTAGCGGCTGGTAGCGACGCACCGGAAAAAATTGTTAAGTGCAGAGCAGAAACAACGGTGAAAGAGGCCGAGTGCACCCAATCGGGGCAGGACAACCCAGCACACACCTATCCTGAACATAGTACGCAAGGGTTCATCATGACAAGGTCAGATGTCAGATGTGCCCAGCGGGTATACGAAGAGCAAAGGCACCAGGCGAGTTGCACTGGTAAAACAAAGGCATAAAAATTACGCCCTTTAGGGCATAAATACTCTTTTACGCCCTTACCACGGGCATAAAACGATTTATGCCCTTGGAAAGGGCGTGAATGGTGTAGGAATTTCAAGCGTGGGAACCGGCCCTGCGCCTGCCAGGCAACAAATTTGCTGCGTGGCAACCCGGAAAAGTTTGCCACACATCAAATTTGCTGTACAGGCAGGCTGGTCCAGGCTCGTACGTACAGGCAGGCTGGTCCAGGCCTCGGCTTATTGTACCCCCAGGTAAGCAGAATTATCGAGGGGTCGGCAACTTCCCTTGGCCGTGTACGGGGGAGTATACGTATATTACCAGTAATATAGGTAATATATGTGTAATATAAAGTAATACAAAGTAATATACAGTAATATAGGAGTATTATAGAGGCGAAATTGTGGTAATATGCAAGTAATATATAGTAATATACAGGTAATATACGGGTAATATAGCCACCGCGTACGAAGTAATATATGAGTTGCCGACCCCTCGAGAATTATTCATTATGACCCCCGAGGTATCATGACCCCGGGATAGGTGTACCCTAGAGTGTCCCGCGCGGGCAGGTGCAATGCGCCTCCCACACCGGCAAACTCATGTCATTCATTTCATTTCAAGGACTCGGGAATCGTAGAAAACACGACGAAATTTGAGATGATCCGGTTTTTTGGAGCAAGTATCGCGCGCAGCTTCTAAACGTCCTGGTTGCGCGTATCTGCAGGATAGTTCAAAGTGCGACCTGTGAAGTGTCAATTTTGAGAACTTGATTTCGTCCGCGCGCGTGTTGCTCCCGTTTCCACCAATCCGGTGGCCTAGCCGAGCGAGCCGAGGCGCGGCCTCAACGGGCAACACTTATCTGAGGCCGTCTCTGTCAAGTTCGACGGAAGGGCTCTTGCCCGCGCAGCGCCGCGCAGCCTGCAGGTGTTTGTTGTCATGCTTTTTCACCTTGAGATACAGCGACGTGCTCGCTGGCCCGTCCCACGGTGATTTTTTAGAATGGAGTCGAGTGCCTTACGCCTTGGGACTAGAGCTCATTCATACTACTCGAACCTTTCCATTGATGAATAACGCCGCCCCAAATTCGAGCCTCGCGTGTCGCTCGTGGGAGGGAAGTCCCGGGACATCGTCGTGCCGCCTTGGAGTCCGCGATCTCCGCGTTCGCGAAACCGGCGACCTCAAGTCTTTGCCTCAGGCATGATATTCGTTGGAGGGACAAAAATCGAGACAGTGAGCCTTATTTTTAGATATGTACGTCAACAATTTTTGCTGTCACGGAACCGACAGTTTGTTCGTCGAATCATTTTTTTTTAAATTTAGTTTTGTGGCGGCGGCGGTGCCGAAGGGGTTGCCTGCCCACCCGGCGGTCGGCCTGCTCCCCACGCTGTCCGTACCGCTGCTCTTTTATCTGCGTCACGTCACGATGCTCTTATAGCCTGCCCTTCAATTTCGTCATTTGCTATCTTAAAACGCGCGTCCAAAATACTCGCAGACACGCCTTGAACGCAAAAGCCGAGGTCGAGGTTGCCTTAGTTTCGTTTCGATTTGTCTGACTGGGTGTGTTGTGCCTGAGGCATGCTCTCCAGCGCTGGCGCCTCCTCTTCGCCGCGGTGGCATGCCTCCGTCGGAGTCTCGCGAGTCTCGAGTCGCAGAACTACAGAAGTATGTCAACGTCATGTCAAGGTTCCGGAACGTGCGTCCCCGCGTTCCAGAGCGGCGCGCTTCCATGCACGGCAAAAGCGGAACCTGGTTTTCCCAGGAAGCCTATGGTGGAGACATAGGCGATTTTCAGGGAGTTCCTGGAAAACCCAGGTTCCGTTTTTGCCGTGTGCCTGGTTGCCGCAATTTCTGGACGGCCCCCGAGTGGCTCTGGCGCTTGGCTCGCTTAGCGCTCTGTCCGTTTGACGCGCATCCGCTCTTTATCTCAAACGGCAAACGCCGTTCTACCTTCTATCGCGAAGAGCGGACGCACACTGGCAAACATAGAACAGCCAGCGACCCTTTTCTTTCTCTTCTTTTTTGCGTTTCTAGTGAATGAGTGGGCCAGGCTGGCCAGAGCCAGGCCGCTGCCGGAGCGTCTACAAAGCCCCCGCGCCCCCGCTGTCGCCGCCCTCCCTCCAGCGGCCCCCTCTCCCCCCTCCCCTCTCCCCGTCCTTTGCGCACCAGTGAGTCACCAGCGGGGCACTCCCTCTCTACTCCGCCCCGCCCCCGCCCCTCCCCTTCCCTCCCGGCTTCCTGAGGCGTGCGGCCGTGCGGCGTGCAGCTGTCAGGGCTATTCGCTCGGACCAGCAAAGCCCTTGCGTTCATGCAAACTTGGCCCTCGCGGAGTGGCTGCCGCGTCCCAAGAAGGGCGGCTGCAGTGGTTGCACTCCGACTGTCGACGCCGCGCCTCCCGGCCGCGGCCAACCTACTTTCGCACCTGTGACCTCCGTCCGGTTGGACGCCCTGAGTGTCACTTAGTCACACTGCCGTCCCGTCCCGAGTTTGAAAGCCGTCCAGCAGCCGATGCAGCCGAGTGCTTTCCTCGCGAAGCTGGCCCCGCGGCGAGTGGCAGTCGCGATGGCGTGAGTGAATCACCTCGGCAAGAGTGCAAAGTTAGCGCGCGCGCCCTCAGCGGGGACCATCAGTCGCCATGGTGAGTGTGGATCGTGTGCGGGTACCTGGCGACGCGGCCCCGAGGTTATATTGACACCTCTCCCTGGCACTTTACTCTGCCCAAGGCTGTTGTCGTTTCATGAGATGTCTCCATGAACTGTTCCTTGAAACGACCAAGATTGGGGTGATGTGATTTTACAGTGGCACTTTGCTATCATTTACTTTGAGGCAGGAAATGCCTTACTATGTATGAGTCATGAAGTGGTCGTACGCTTTGTTTGCCCATAAACTCTCTCTTGGGGTTCCGTTGAATGACTGTGACAAGCAGAGATTTGAAATGTAACACGACTTGAGAGGTGTCACCAAGTCTGTTCAAATTTTTGACCAGCTCATTCACATCAGACATTGTACTTTATGCGTTCCAGGTTTATCACTGGCAGTCGCACAATGTCAAGCTGTGTGGGGTGGATGACATGGTTCTTCTTCCAAGACCCACTGAAGAATCCATTGTCGACAACCTAAAGAAGCGATTCCTTGATGATTATATTTATGTATCCTTTCATATGCATATTGTTCTCCTTTCATCATTTTTCCAAATATTTTTTTATAAATTTATTGTTTTATAATGTGTCACTCCCTTATAAATATATCAGACCTGTATTGGACCTGTCCTCATATCTGTGAACCCTTTCAAGCAGCTGCCATATTTTGGTGAAAAAGAAATAGAACTTTACCAAGGGGCTGTAAGTATAACTCACAGCTGAAGTGGTGTTGGTTGTTATCAGAAGTTAAATGTTATATTTTTGGCCTGTCCCGTGTATTTTTGTTACAGGCACCATATGAAAACTCTCCTCATATATATGGGTTGAGTGATCAAATGTTCCGTAATTTATTAATTGACAATGAAAGCCAATGTGTGATAATAAGGTATAAGAAATACTCCAGAAAAATTAACTGTTTTCCAAGATTGCTTCCTATTGTATTCTATTTTCAACTTTTTTTTTTTGCAGTGGAGAATCGGGTGCAGGGAAGACAGTGGCAGCTCGCTACATCATGAGCTACATTGCACGTATCTCTGGTGGATCATCAAAAGTTCAACATGTAAAAGATGTTGTTCTCAATTCCAACCCACTCTTAGAAGCTTTTGGCAATGCCAAAACTATCCGTAACAATAATTCTAGTCGTTTTGTAAGTGCCTATCTACCTGGATCTCTTTATATGCGAGTACAATTTTGATCAACTTTGTTTTTCTTGTTGTTATTTTGTAAAGGGAAAATATGTTGAAATAGTCTTTAATGTTGCTGGTCAACCTGTGGGAGGTCGTATTTCAAATTTCTTGTTAGAAAAGTCTCGTGTTCCGAATCTCACGTTAGGTGAACGCAATTTCCACATATTTTACCAGCTGTGTGGAGGAGCCAATGCTCACCTGAAAAGTGAGTACATCGTCAGGCTGTGTAATTTTAAGAAGAAAGTGATCAATCCAAGTTAATTCAATTTTGCAACCTTAATTTTATTTTGCAGAGGACTTGGGAATTGTTAATATGAATAACTTTCAATACCTGTATGCTGGTGGCTCATTTTCTGTTGATGGAGTCAATGATGCTAAAGATTTTGGAGAAACTACTGCTGGTGAGTTTAATTTGGAATACCCTATTCTTTTAACATGGGCATTTTGAATCATTAATTAATTTACTATTTTGTTTATGTGCAGCTATGAATGTAATGGGGTTTTCTGACTCGGAACAGCGAGAAATTTGGAACAGTGTTGCTGCCATTTTGCATCTAGGTAACATCAACTTTACTGAAAGTGGCAACTATGCCCAAGTGAGCGACAAAGGAGGTAATTAATTTTCCAATTGTTAACTACTAGTTGGCATGCATAAAAAATTGTTTTTTTTCTAAACTCTTTCATATTTTTCTTTTATTAAAGCTTTAGAGTGGCCTGCTTATCTCTTGGGTGTTGACGTATCTCAATTGGAAAGTAAAATGACTAGTCGCTTATTTGAAAGTAAATGGGGTGCTAAAGATGATTCCATTAATGTCACTCTAAATGTTGAACAAGCTGTTTACACAAGAGATGCCCTAGCAAAAGGCATCTACTCAAAAATTTTTGACTTTCTTGTCCAGGTATGGCTTTGCCTTTCATTTGCTGCAATTAATGTCCCATTTTTGCCTCATTCAATGTTTTTGTTTGTATTTAGAGAGTAAATGCAGCCATGTTCACTGATAGTAGAGGAAATAACATTGGCATCCTTGATATTTATGGATTTGAGATTTTGGATAAAAATGGCTTTGAGCAACTTTGCATCAACTTTGTGAATGAAAAGCTTCAGCAGATATTTATTCAGCTGACTTTGAAAGCCGAACAGGTGTGGTCTTTTTGTCTTGTTTGCATGTTTTAAATTATTTTTTAAAATTATGATATTTATGTTTGCATGACGATATTCTGACTTTAGGAAGAATATGTAGCAGAGAAAATTGCATGGACGCCAATTGACTATTTCAACAACCAAGTTGTTTGTGAACTGTTAGAGGCCCGACAGCCACCAGGCCTGTTTCTTGTGTTGGATGATGTATGTGCAACTTTGCATGCTGTTGCGGATGGAGCAGATCAGGGTTTGCATAAGGTGAGTTTAAAACAAACCTATTTCCTTTTCTTTTTCCTTATTCTAAAATGAGTGTTTCTATATTTGTTTTTAGAAATTGAATGGGAGTGCTAGCTCTCACAAACATTATTCTCCCACTGCAGAGGGCTTTGTCATTCAGCATTATGCTGGTGTGGTGAGTTACTCAGTGGATGGATTTTGTGATCGGAATAGGGATGTCTTTTTCCCAGACTTGGTGCAGCTTCTCCAGACAAGCACAAGGTTGGTTGTATTTTTAAGGTCTTATTCCTGACCCCTGAACAAAAGTGAGGAGACTTTAATGGCTTCACAAATTTGATTCACACTTCACAGCCAGCTCATCTACAGTCTTTTCCCTGAGCCAGTTGCTAGAACAAGACCAACCACAGCTGGAACCAAGATTCGTTCCCAGGCTGGTGAGTTGGTGGCAAAATTGATGCAGTGTGCGCCTCATTATGTCCGTTGCATAAAGCCCAATGAGTCCAAGCGAGCTCGTGAGTGGGATGATCTAAGAGTCAAGCATCAGGTGGAATATTTAGGTTTGCGAGAAAACATTTCTGTTCGTAGAGCTGGGTTTGCATACCGTCGTGTGTTTAAGAAATTCCTGCATAGGTGCGTACCCTTGGTGCCTCATTGATCTAGAAATCTACTGCAGTTTTTGATTGCTGATGTCCTTTTTTTGAAGGTATGCAATTTTGACCAAAGAGTCTTGGCCTTCTTGGAGAGGAAGGGAGGACGAGGGAGTGAGGCATGTACTGGCAGCTTCTGGTCTCAAAGAGGGTCATGAATTCCAACTTGGAAAATCAAAAGTCTTCATAAAAAATCCAGAATCAGTACGCTACTAATTTTGATAAAACACAAACTCTCTCTTAGCTGGTTAAATGTACTACTTAAGGTGGATAATTGTTTTGTTTCAGATTTTCCATTTGGAAGATCTCCGAGAGCAGCACTTTGACAAACATGCTAGAGTGATTCAAAAAGCCTTTAAGAGTCACTTTGCTCGCAAGCAGCAGAACACTCAAAGGCAGGAGGCTGCAGGTATTTTACCTCATAAGTAACTCTCATTGTTTTTCTTGATAAAATTAGATAACTGGGGGTGGTTGATAAACTTGTTCCAGCACTATTTTGTGGAAAGAAAGAACGCCGGAGACTTTCAGTACATCGTCACTTCATTGGAGATTACCTTGGAGTTTCGAATCACCCAGAGCTTCATTCCCTTGTGGGGCGACGAGAAAGAATATTTTTTTCTATTTCAGTCACTAAATATGATCGTCGCTTCAAGGTGAAAATTCAAAATTATGAAATAAGTTGTTGCATTGTTCTCATAATTTCCTTTTCTGAAAGAGCTTTCATCTTGAATTTTTAGCCTAGTGACCGTGATTTGATCATTACATCTCGATCCTTATTTTTGACAAGCTATGAGCCTGGCTCTGGTGATCATAGAAATTATCCTATTATCAAAAGAAATATTCCATTCCCCAATATTAGTCATGTGTCACTCAGTACTTTACAGGTAATTTTTCCAAATTGAAAGAACTTAAAAGCTGATTGCAAAATCTTGACTGTATAGTAAAACATCACTTTTTTTTTATTTTTACAGGATGATTTTGTTGTGATTCATGTGAAAGATGATTATGACTCATTGCTAACAGTACCTTTGAAGACAGAATTTTTGTACGCTCTTCACAAGAGATATGGCGCTCAAGTGGGACGTCAGCTGAATATACATTTTTCCAACTGGTGAATATGGGAATTTACAAATTTGAGTTCTGTTGCTTCCACATCACTCAACTTCAATGACCATAAATTTCTTTTTCAGTGTTGAGTTCTCTGTGAAAAAATCTGGCATTGGAGGAGGGGGAAAGCGATGTGTGGTGTTTGTTCCAACCATAACTGGCCTGGACTCTCCGTCTCTAAAAATCAGCGGAACTACCTTAACAGTTGGTATTGGAGCTGGTCTGCCTCCTGACACTGCTGGTGAGTAGTCAAAAATGCTGAAGTATTTGTGGGTGATTTTTGGTTCAGTTTAAAATAATTTTCAATTTTTCTCCACCCCAAAATAAAAAAGTAGTTTCTCCTGAAAGAAATGAACCAACCAGACGACGGGTGAATGGAAAGCCTGGATCGGCAGCACCTCAGAAGATCTCCAACCGCACTCCCACAAGAGCTGCTCCTCCTCCCCCTGGCCCACGCCCCACAGCCAATCGTCCTACAGAACCTGCCCCTCCTCCTCCCCCAGTTGCCCATGCCACTGGACCTGCCACTTCCCCTCCCCGAGTTCCCTATACGACAGGACCCCCCTCTCACCCTCAACCAGTTCCCTATGCCACTGGACCTGCCACTCCCCCTCCTCCAGTCCCCTATGCCACAGGACCGGCCAATGCTCCAGCGCCAATTCCCTCTGTTACAAAAATTCAAAATGGTACATAATATTATTAATCATCATTGTAACAATTTATTTTAACAGAAAACTTTCTTAATAGAGAAGAATTTTTGTTTTCAGGTGCCATTAAGGAGGACCTTCTTGGTAACAACAATTTTAAGTTGAACAAAAAGACAAATGAGGGACAACAAAGTGACCTCACCAAGGAACTTCACAGTACCATTGGACGCTTTAAATCCAAAGACATTATCAATCAGCAAGATTTACTTGAAAAGAATTTCAACAAGCCTTTCAGTCAGGACCTCACAAGCACATTAAAGCGAATCAAAGCCAAAGAGACAGCTAAACCAATAGTGTCAAGCGAAAATGCAAATGATAAACTGAAAGTTGGAGGTGATTTAAATGCAGATCTCACCAATACACTAAGGCGTATCAAAGCCAAGGGAACAGTATTTAACCCACCAAATAGTAATCTGTGAGTATTGTCTGTTAAAAAGTTGTTGACAAATTACTGCAGTTGTAGAGCTCAAGAAAACATATTACTTCTTTTGTACAACAGTGTACCAGCAGCAACTCAACTCAACAATAAAGTGGCAGAGAAGCCTATTCCAGGAGGAGGACGACCAAGACCAACTTTAAACCCTAGTCAAATCCGAGTCAAAGCAGTTTATGATTATCAATCTCAGGATGTTGATGAATTAACTTTGAAGGAAGGGGATCTAATTGATCTTATAAAAGAACGTATGTGCTTATAATATTGTTGTTGTTTTTTAAAATTTTGCTACTTATGTTTTGTTTTTTTAATTTATGCTCTCCTCTTCAGATCCAGGTGGTTGGTGGCAGGGCCGTCTGAAGGGTAAAGAAGGCTTATTTCCTGCAAATTACGTACTTAAATTGTAAGTTATTTCTACGTATTTCCCACTCAAGGGATCAAATTACTTGGTGCTTCAAAAGTAGGGTCGTATAAAACTATTTTAATTATGTATTACCACTAATATTGTGCACCAGTGCACCCTTTAACAATCTGTGTTAGCCTCCCTCCACAAGCAGGGATTTTACTTGCAGTAGGGTGGCTCCATTAGCAATAGATTCAAAGTGCTTTGACTTTTTGTTGAAGCTTGATTCCTGTTTGTGCTGTGACTTAATGTTTTCTCTTTTATCTTTATAAATGTAATGCTTCTAATATTTTTTTAGGTCACCTATGGTTTCTAGACAATGCAAAAGCAAATTTTTTTAATGATGTACCTGTGAGTACATAGTCCTTTTTATCAGATTCTTGACATGAATGTGTAACATAACAACCTTGTTCACTGCTTCCACAGAAACAGAATGAATGAGTCAGTTATTGTCAACCATGACATTTGTAGGAAGTTTATTGAGCTTTCTAATTGTAGGTGTAAGAATATTTATGTTACCACTTTTTTGTGCAATGTTTGCAAATACGAATTGACCATGAAAAACTTTGTACCTAGTCCACCAGTCTTTCTCTCTATCTTCTTTTGATAGAAGACATGGTTTACTTTTTTTTTAAGGGTAGATGGACAAAAGCATCTATATTTAAAATAATCATGCTAACTTTATTCATGTGGCACACTTTATGTTCATACCAGTTATTCAAAACCAGAATATAATATCAGGAGATAAAAAGGTTCAAAACATGCAGTTACGCTTTCAATATTATGAAGTAACCAGTCTAAATAGGGACAGTTAGAATAAGTTTAGCTATGAAAATACCACTGTATGGTTACAAAGCAAACCATACAAACTCCTTATGTGAACATCTTGTCTGAGAAGCCAAACAAGATTAAAATAGGGTGTTCTGCTTTTTTAAACAACCTTGTAACATATGCATCTCAAGACATTCCTAAACAATGCTGAAATCTGGAACAACAAGCTACCAAACTACCACATGGTTGCTGTAGAATTATCACAGGTTAAGACTTGAGATCTAATTCAAATAAACATTACCTAAATACCAAGTGTAACATTCATAGAAATGATAATCTTGTAATTTTGAAGATAAAGAAACACCTTAATTTTTTTATGAGCAGCAACAAACCTTAAAAATTTACTGTTAATTGTAGTTTCATCACCTATATAATATACACACCATAACTCGGACAATCACAGCAAAATGCCTAACTAAGGGCCTGCATCTGAAAGCTGTTATTTTGATATCACAAATTCAAAATAGTAAGGCTCATTCAATGAATGAGGTAGAACCCAGAAAAATGAACACCACATACAGTGATTTGACAGAACACACTAAATACAGGACATGCAAATAAAATCGAGTACAGGCAGAACTGTGGCATACCGGCATACCAAAGTATTTCTGTTCAGCAGCAGGCCTTTGCATCTGACCTTAAAAATATACCACAAGCTGAGTACAACTTAAAATATTAGTTTTCAATATCAAAATACAATAGAAACTCTTGATTCACATCTCTTGCCAAAATGCAGATGGTACAATAAAGATATGTACAATAAAACAAAAATTGTTTCTTTCAAAATATGTTACACCTTCTAAAATAATTAATTTGTACAAATTGAATCAGGTTATGTTCAAATATACAATGTAAATTCAAAATTCAAATCTCTTAACTACAGGGCAAGTCATGACATGAAAAAAATCAAAAAAAAAAAGGAAAAGATGTTTTTTCCCAATTGCACATAAGTGTCTGATTTGATGTGCTACTGAAAGAAAATAACAACCATAAAAACAAGGGCAAACTCAATTCCAGAATACATACAGTTAACACCAAAATACCGCATAAATATTAACAGACTCTCAGGAGAGGAAAGGCCTGTATGGCATTACATATCCTAATGGAATAAACAAAGCAACTTTCAGGAAATAAGACTATAAATAGCAAATAGCTTTTGACGTTACACTAATAGCAATAGAAATGGTTAATTTGTACTTCATAAAGATGTGGAACAGTTACAGGCCCAACATCCACCATAGAAGATAAGTCCTCATGGAAATGCTTCCCCTAAAACATGAGAGTAAAGATAGGGCAGGAACAAATATCAAGCTGAATTGCACAATGTATGACAAAAGACAAATTGGAATTAGCTCGAAATGGTTCAGTACACTACACAACATTGGTGTTACGCAAATTGTGCCATAATCTACTCTAAGCTAATGAGCATTTCGTTCATTCACATTTAGTGAATACATGTGTGTTCATAATAAGTCAGTTAGATTTCAAATTGTGGAACCTACATCCTACCTACATCCAGGAGGTAGTAATAACAAATATGAAATGGTGTCTTGATTACAATAATTGATAATGGACATAATTTACTAATCATGATTCTAAATGGCAAGAAATATTCCTGCAATAGCTTTTAAAAAAATGCTTTCGCCTGCCGCTTAAGAGAAATGACAATCAGGTACATAGAAACAAAGACTTCCTAGAATATAGGAAATCATTTGTTTTGTGGCCCTTCTTCTGCAAGAAGATACATATAAACAAATTAATAACTGTATAACACATAAGTGACTAGTATACCAAATTTTTCAGGCCATTGCAACCAGCTTCAGAATTAAAACCAAATACAATTTCTAGGACAGTCACATAAACAATCAAAGAGAAACTGAATGTCCTTCAGTTCAATTAGTTTGCTTTGCTTTCTTTTTCCAATACCATATACTCATGGTAAAGAAACCAAAACCCCTCAATGACCTACATTTGAAGAGTCAAGTGGTTGGCAGAGGAGGAGGAGGGCAAATAGGCTGAATGATTGATAGATGACAACGAACCTTCAGCTGTCTGAATGACCTCAGAAGAAATGTGGGCATTAGAACTGAGATAAGTCTGAGAGATGGAAGCAACTGGGGTCAGAAGGGTGGATTGGGGTAAATCTTCTGTTGATTCATTCAAATAACCATCGGGCCCATCAGTTGCACTGACAGGTAGAAAAGGTGGCTCACTTATGTATTCAACTGCGCTAGGAGATGATAGGTATGCATGGTCTGTTGCGTGATGCTGCATGTACTCCTCCTGTTCTAGGAAGTCTGAGTCTGTGGGTACTAAGTAAGTGGTTGGTGTCAAATCATCACAGACTGAGAACGTATGAGATGAATAACAGTCAGACATCATGGAAGGAGATGAGAGCGAATTCGATAACATAGTATGCTGAGAATAAGAGTCATCTTGTTCAGAGGAAGGAGTTGTCAGATATGACTGAGAAGAAAACTGATCAGCTGTGTTGGAGGACGACAGATCTTCCGAAGTTTGTGAAATCAGGTAAGTTCCCTCATCCAGAGAACCAAAGGTAGAGTCATAGACCCCATCCTCTGCTTGGTCCACATTCTGCAGAGCATTTGGTGAAACGGAGTTCTGTTCTTCTGAAACAGGATCAAAATGATCTTGAGAAGTCTCCACAGCTATTGGAGGCAGGTCAACCCGTTTTGGTACCATTTCTGAGACACTACTGTCTTGCTTGGCTATTTTTGATCTAGGTGAAGAAGAACGCTTGTGCTGATTAGTTGATTGGAATGAAGGTCGTTCATATTTATCAACTGCACTTCTCTGAGACGAAGAGTGAGGATGAGAATAATGGTCTTGGCGATTCCGCCTTCTGTGCCTTCTTGAGCGAGGTCTTGCGGGCCCATTCACATTCTTAGATTGCGATGGCATGGTTTCATTTCCGACTCTACTCTCAGATGAATGAGAAACTGCAGGTGCTTCTTTTTTATCATGGGGAGGGGGTTGATGGGGAGCAGCTGGTTTTGCAGCAGGTGCTGTTGAATTATTTGAGGCAGAGCTGTTTGAATTGGGAACAGGCTGGGTTGATGATGAGTCAGTTATCAAGTTTGCAGGTGCCTTCGACCTCTGATACGCTTGCAATATTGATCTGGGGCTAGGAGGTCGTTTGCTCTTAGCCCTATGATTAGCAAGGGTCTTTGCAAGCTCGAACACTTTAGCTGTGTGAACGTGATGATCATCTCTTGTGACGGTCTTTCCATGTTTTGTTGAGTAAATTCTTATAGCACAGTCAAAAGGATGGTTATTTCTTCCCACCACTGAAGATAAAAACCAGTCAGGTAAAAATGAATATTGAGATCGACCAGCTATCATATCACCTGTAACAAAGTGAACTCCTGGTTCCCAGCGAAATCTCCACACAGTGAAAGGATCATTGCTCTGAGGACATTCACGGACAGTCTTAGTAGCAAAACTTAAAAATTGATCCAAGAAGGTCATGCACACAGCAGGAACCCACAAATCCTAAAGGGAGAAAAATAAATCAATTAGTAAATCAACAACAGTGATGAATAAGTTATGTCCAAGTTTGCCACCTACCTTAGCTAATTTAGGAATTTCTTCCACTTTATAGAAGGCAATATTATCAACAATACCTCTGTCATCACGGAATCCACATATAATATGTGCCACATTAACTAAAAAATTTTGAGCCCACCAATTTAATAATTTAAATCTGTAAACAAAAAAGCAACAAAAACAAGAAGAAGCTTCAAAAAATCCTTTAGATGAGGAAGAAGTGCTCAAATACTAGAAAATCTTACCTCTTAAAATTTCTTTCTTGACGCACACATTCTAACTTTCTACTTGTTTTTAATTCAATAAATTCAGCTAACATAAGGTCTTCTAAACAATCTTCAAGAGGTACATCACTTGTTACTGCATCCATTTCTGCCCCATAAATAAGCCTCCGGTCGTTCAGTTTAGTTCTGAAGAGGCAACAAAATTCCTCTCCTTCTTTGACTGGCATGTCGACTTCTGGTGGACAACCTGGTTGATCTTAATGAACAAATAAATGTATATTAAGGTTAAGTTTCATGAATTGACGGAAAACCACACACTTGGATGAATTAAAATTAACTTTACCTGTACTCATGTACTGTTCAAATTTAAATCCCCAATGACAGAAGCGCTTTTGAGCCTCATCTCTGCTCATACGTTCTCGTCTCTGCTCTGGGGTCTCTTGGGCACACAGAAAAATCACTCCTCGAAATTTACTGACAAGGATTTCCCAGCCTTGATTTTGTTCATAAGGTGTAGTCATAATCTTCGTCAGAAGGCCGCGTAGACACATGATGGAGGCAACCTCCCTAGGAAAGAAGTGAAACAATATTGTGGATTAAAGCACGGTTTGCGACTTCATTTCATGTGACAAATAACAGAACTACATCTATTGCAACTAGACAGCAAATAAGGACCAGTGCTTTGAACAAATGGCCAGACAACATAAAAATTCTTGGTCAGCCACAGAAATAATTCAATTCCAAACCGATACAACATAGGTCGTTGCTATTCGCACACCACTTATCTGAAACGTTTACTCAGAGACGTGGACAAGGGCGGTGAAGGACACTTACGGGCTGACAGCCAGGCCACTGGCGAGGACACCACGCAGTAAATTGTCGATTCTTTCGTTGCTTTTGGCGTGATCAGACCGTTGGACGTTGTCAATGCCGTGGTTCAGGTCCCAGCCTAGGGACTCGGCTTGGCGCGGCAAGTGCATGTACCGCAGCTGGGAGAGGTCCGGGGCGAAACGCCGGTCCTGGTCCAAGCTGAAGTAACTGACAACCATCGGCTGGGCAAACGGGGGAAAGGTAGCAGAGGGTTTCACCCAAACCCGCATACTAGGCCTGTTTTTGCCTATGCTGTTCATCTTGACAGGTGTTGGCAAGTCAATCAAACAGGTAAGATATCATTCGTGCGGCCGTTCAGCTCGCCAGACCTTTACCGCCAAACAGAGGGACGACAATTTCTCGGTGCAATTTCATGTCAAGTCACGGAGAATAGCGCAGACAACAACAAAGAGAATAGAACACAACCAAACAGCAACAAACTTTTCAAGACGTGGTGGGGTGGCAGGGGGGAGGAAGGGGATAGGCGTTGAGAGAAAACCGCAGCGCGCTCTGGTTTCGCGTGGTGGCAGATTTCGGAACCACTCCGTGACAATACAGCTGTCAGCTGTTTTGGTCACGTGGTTTCGGCCCTGCGAATAGAGCCTGAAGCACTATTCGCAACAATCGTGAACCAAAACAAGAGGTGACATGAGGACCATGTGTCTGCTTGTTTTAGTCTGAACCTACCTGCAAAGGACGTTTTCTGACAAGCATTGGTTCCGGAGGGAAGCCCCTAAGCAAAAACCATGAAAGTGAAGGTTCTGTCTCGCAACCCGGACGAGTACTTGAGGGAGACAAAACGTGACATCCACAAGGGTAGGTTATGACTGCCATGGTCGAGTGCGCAGCTGTTGTTTATTTCCTTGATCCTCTCGGAGCGACGCGTAGGTTACGTCTATGCACTCTCTGAGTGACTCATTCATTCACCTGTTTGCTCTTTCTTCAGTCCCCAGGAACTATGACCCCGCCCTGCACCCACTGGAGGCGCCCCGCGAGTATGCGCGGGCGCTGCAGTCCACCAAAATGGAAAGAATGTTTGCCAAGCCGTTCGTAGGGAACCTGGACGGTCACCGAGACGGTGTGGCATGCATTGCCAAGCACCCCCAGACCCTGTCGCTGCTGGCAAGCGGAGCCTGTGATGGAGAGGTGATCTACCAAGCTCATGCCTCGTCTGCTTCTTCATCAACTGATTGATTCTTCTCCAATTAAAAATTCCTTTACATTTCAGGTACGCTTTTGGAACCTGCCCCTTCGTGAGTGCACTAGATCGTTTCAAGCCCATAACGGCTATGTTCGTGGCCTGACATTCACTCCAGATAGTCAGAATCTCTTATCCATTGGAGATGATAAAACTATCAAACTGTGGGGTCTTGAAGAAGGGCAGGAAGAGCCAATCAACACAGTCCTCAGCAAGGTGATTTGTCTTATAATGTACCAATCATTTTTGTCTATGATGGATGTCAGCTAAGCCTTTGATTTTTGGTCTCTCTTGTTAATCCAGACTATACTTACCTCACTGAGCCATCAATATGGAGAAAATAAGTTTGTGACCTGTGGAGAAGTATGTCAACTCTGGGAACATGGCCGCAATGAACCTATTCGTACCTATGAGTGGGGTGTAGATAGTCTTCACAATGTCGCATTTAATCAAATTGAAAATCATTTATTAGGTAAATCCTGCTTGCTCTTTTATTTTACTTGCTAAATTACTTAATTTTCTCCCCTACATCAGATACAATCTTTTTTTGTTCCTGTTGCAGCTGCATGTTGTAGTGACCGAAGCATCATTTTATATGATACTAGGGATACTGGCCCAATCCGGAAAATTGTAATGAAAATGCGTGCCAATAGCCTCTGTTGGAATCCTATGGAAGCCTTCCATTTCACAGTAGCCAATGAAGATTTCAAGTGAGTAAAATGGTTTCTCATCATGTTTTGTCTATTCTAGCCTATTTTATACTGATTTACTTAATTTTTTTCTTTTTGTATCAGCCTTTACACATTTGATGCCAGAAAGATGAAGTATCCAATCAATGTCCACATGGATCATGTGGAAGCTGTGGTAGATGTTGACTACTCTCCAACAGGCAAAGAATTTGTTAGTGGTAGTTACGACAAATCAATTAGAATATTTGAAGTTCACAAGGTAAGTGGAGTGATTTATAGCACTTTGGTGTGTTGTTTTTTAAATCCTCTTTTGTTAGTATTAATTTTCATCAACTTTTTTTCAGGGTCATTCTCGTGAAATATATCACACAAAACGGATGCAAAGGCTTACAGTGGTTTCATGGTCGCTGGACAATAAATACATTATGAGTGGATCTGATGAAATGAACATAAGGGTTTGGAAGGCCAATGCATCAGAAAAATTGGGAGCTGTAAGTTTCATAACTGAAATGCCATTCCCTGACTTTAGTTTCCTTTATGAAGAATCTTTAACACTTATACCTTCTGAATTTCAGCTGAGGCCAAGGGAAAAGGCGGCTCTTGAATATCATGAAGCTTTGAAAACTAAATTTGCCCAGCATCCACAAATCAAACGCATTGCCCGCCATCGTCATGTGCCCAAACACATTTACCATGCGTCCGAGGAACAGGCCATCATGCGAGAGAAGATGAAGCGCAAGTAAGCTATACAACTTTCAGAAACTCTTCTATCTTAATTTTATTTTGGTCAATTTCATTTCATATTTTACTTTTTCTTTTCAGGGAGGCTAACCGGCGGAAACACTCTAAGAAGGGGACAGTGCCTCACGTTCCAGAACGTCATAGACATGTTGTCAAGGAGCAAAAATAGAATAATTCTGTCACTTTCAAAATTCTTTGTTAAATGTAGAAAAAGGAAAAAATGGCTTATGAAATATCTGTTACTTTTGACTTTGGCTACCACATATTTAATAAATTATCTTATTAATCAGCAGTTTGCAATACTACCCAGACATCTTGTTGAGATCACCTAGAACTTTCCATTAGGTCACCCGTATCTAAAAATTATGACAGCAACACGAGCAAAAAACTAATCAATCTCGTACAGCAAGTCGAATTTGGTAGATGACCCGACCTTTCGGTTCTCCTGTGCCACTTTGAGTGCAGAGTTCACTCTCTCCCCGTCTCGACGGGGTCGGGCTGGTGGGCTGGTGCTTCTGCACCGAGATGAGACGGAGCGAGTGCGCGTGTACCGGCCGGTGCTTGTGTCACGAGGAGCGAGGCTGCCGGCGCGGCCGCGGCCGCGAGTCTTCTGTTTGTGTGTCGGTGCGCGTGTCCCGAGTGCTTGTGTCCCCAGCAGCCTGCCCCAGCCCCGCACAGCGCCATGCGCCATCAAGGCCGGCACTGAATACAACAGTATCCCCAAAAAAGAAATTGTTATTAACAGATAAGCTATCCACGCCTCTAGACGGGCTGGTTCTCGCGGACAAGCGTCCCTGGACAGCGCACGATGCAGACAGTCCCTCGACTCCCTCCACACTGCCTCACACAGGTCCAAGTTAGGGGGTTCTAACTCTAAGACGACTTCACACGGGACCGCCGACAACTACTCGACACAGGACTCCCTAAAACTATGTGCCGCAAAAGGGACGGGGCAGGGAAGGCACGCCAAGGCGCGCCCCTCCCGTTCCGCTGCGTTCCGCCTCATCAAACAGAACAGACTGAGCGAAGCGAGAACAAGCCAGCCAAACAAGAGCAGGTGCGATACCGGTGGGAAAGAAAAGGGGGAAACCAGAACGCCTTGGGGGCTGGGGACACGCGATTACCTGGATTACCCGACGCGTCATAAACGCAAGGGCCCCTGGAGGTGCAAATCTAGTGCACAAGTGGAGGGCGGGGGTTTGCCCGGGGGCCTGCACTGTTATCAAGGAGAAAAGAGGGGGGGGGGGGGTACTGCGAAACACGGCGTGTTTATTTTGTTTCATTGCGCGTCTCGTCGACGGCTCTTGACCCAAAAGAGTCTCCCCTTGCACGCGGTTGTTGTTGTTGTTTTGTTGCACGGCAGGACGGGATGAACCGGCACAGGCCGCCTCCGTCGCCGACCAAACAGGCAGACGTCAGCAGCGCTTTCCATCCGCAGAGGAAGGAGGAAGACACAAAACGCTTCCGGGCGGTACAGAGACAGAGCGATGGAATGATGGAATCGAACGCGAGAGTCCGCCTGGCGCCCGCCAAGTCCGGGGTGGGCCAGCCGAACAGCCGTCTGATTCCGAGCACTGCTTTCGTCGCTCTGTCTCTCTCGCACTCATGGGGCGTTCCGTAGGGGTGCGAGAGAGACAGAGCGACGAAGCAGTGTTCGGAATCAGACGGCAGGCCGAACCCACGAGTGGCTCGCAGGACGGCATATCCTATCCTATCCTATCCTCCCCGGCCGGACCGCCCCACATCCAAAGAAAGCGGCGCGTGTCTCTGTCTCTGTCACTCTCGCGCGGTAGGCGAGCCGGAGAGGGAGAGAGAAAGGGCACTTCGCGCGGAAAGGCTACGCGGCTACGCTGTCCGTTGCCTTGCTCACCACCACGCCTCACGTGCCTCGCGTGGTCTGTCTGGAACAGCACACGCCGCCACGCCCCGCTCATAGGGCTAGGGCTCACAACAGTAGGGCAGTCGGCAAAGTTAGAGTTTGCTTCATGCCCAGTGTTTGCGCTCTGTAGCCCTGTAGCGGCGGGCTTAGGGCCTTGTGCTTGTGCTGGTGGCACACTGCCGGAATATGGATGGAGCTGGGCACTAGGCGCCGCCCGCACCGCCTGCCAGCCAGCCCCGCCAGCCCCGCACTAAGTTGCCGAGGACACTCCGCGCCAAAAGTTTGACACATTAGCCGCTCGCGAGATGCGCCGTCCTGACGCGCTCCTTTATTGTCGCGACGCGATGAAGGAAGTGTTCCAGTGGCGCTGCAGCCGCTGCAGCGATCCCCCCTCCCGCCGCCTTGCAGGACGCGTGGCCGACTGACTCACGTCTTTGTGTCGGCCGCGCGGACTCGGACGGCCGGACTGTCGTAGAGTGTCGTGGTCGCGGAGCAAGTTGCCGACCGAGCGAATCCCGCGGATACCGCATCAATGACGCGGCGCGGCCGAGCAGCTCGCCGCCGAAACCTAGACCAAGCCGAGTCGGCTTTTGTTTCTATCAGTGTGTCGCTGTTGTTATTGTTGTTGCTGGTGGCGGTGGTCGGCACGGTGGCGGCGGTGGAGGACGCGACATTGCCGGTGTTGCAACTTGCGCGGCTGCAGACTGATTCCGAGAGTCGTTTTCGTCGCTCTGCCTCTCTCGCACTCATGGGGCGTGCCGTACGGGTGCGGGAGAGACAGAGCGATGACAACGACTCTCGGAATCAGACTGCTGAGATGTGCCTCTCGATGCCGCGCTCCACGCCTGCAGCCAGCGATCCGCGCGATCCGTTGTCAGTCCGTCAGTCTCCGAGTGGAGTTGAAGCAGGTCAGGTCATGGCGAGCAATCTGTGGTGTCGCTTGGCGCGGGCCAAGGCGCAGCAGGGCGCGGACGCGGCGGCGCTGGGGGCGGCGCTGGGGGCGGGGGCGGCGCGCCGCGGGGGCGGCAGCACTCTGGCGCGTCTCGAGCGCCGTCGCCACCAGGAAGGCCGCCAGGAAGGCCGCCACCAGGAAGGAGGCGACTCGGTAAGGGAATGTTGGCTCTGTTTGTTTGGGTGGCCGCCGATCCAGGATCGAACTCTTTCCCGTCCACTCTGCACCGGCACTGCAGTCTCCTTAATCTCCGGCGATCCGACGGCCGCCGTCCGTAATCCTCTCCGGATGAAACGGAAGCGTTGTCTCGGCGACTTATGCGCGCAGTTTTGTGGGGCCCTCCCCTTCCAGTGGGGCGACCCGCGCGGTAAATCGCCCTGCCCCTTCCACCGTGCCCTCGCACGCCGAGAGCAGGGATTTTTAAAACCGCGACTGCTTAATTTGCCCCAGCGCTGTGGTGTACCCTTCCTCTCCCTTTTTGCTGATGCACTGATGAGACGCACTCGGCGCTCCACGTGCTGAGCTGCTTTCCGGACGAGTTTGGCCGGCAGGTCCGCGGTTCGCGGCTCGGCGGAGCCACAAAGGGACCAAGGGCTGGGAGGGGTGGAGTAGTGGACCTCTCGGCTGGGCGGGTACCTTTCAGCGGGTACCTCACTGCCGCTGTCCCCTCCGTGGGCCGGGTCCACAGTGCGAGATTCGTTGCGTGGCGTGGCTCACAGTGGGCCAGAAGACCGGCGGAGGCGGCCAAAAGTCTAGACGCGTTTTGAGCTCCAGAGTCGGTAAACAGGTCTGGAACCGAACGTGTGACCCCACCAATGGATTGCTCTCCGAACGAGGAATCCATTGGTGGGGTCACACGGTCCGTTCGAGTCCTTTTCACCAACTCTGGAGCTCCCGGGATTTCGACCGCCTCCACCGGCCTTCTGGCCCACTGTGAGTCGGCCAGTCGGCACGAATAGGAGCTTCAGCGCTTCAGTTTTCAGCGCAGCCATAATTTACAAAGTTGTGTGCGGAAAACTTTCGACCGAGTTGTGACGCGAAAAAGCAAACAGCAGGAGGCATTCACTCTATCCCGGCTGCGGGGATATAATTAAGATGCATCCTGATGAAGGACAGTTTCGCCGTTCCGGGTATATGAGTGATTGTTCGGTTTTGCGATCAACACACCGATGAGCCTCGGCTTGGTTCCGGTAAAGATAAAGGCACACATTGCATCAGCGGCATAAAAGTTTATCATAACAAAATTTCATTATTTAAGTCTATTCCATATCTCCCCAAAATAAGAAAAAAGAAAAAAAAAAAACTTCGTAAAAATTAGCAAAAAAATTAACAACAGCAAAAATAAAAATAAAAACAATACAAATGACCGCATTAATCCGCTGATGGGTCGGTACGCGTGGACTCGGTGCGCTGCTGACACACACGAGCCGGCTTTATCAGCCACACATCGAGATGCGCACACTCACACACACTCTCACACACTCACACAGACGCAAAGGTCGTAGCCCTTAAGACTTGGTTCCGCGATGTTGTTCCTGCAAATGGTGTCGGCACACGCACGCGCGCGCGCGCACACACACACACTCACACACTCACACACTCACACATACCCCCCCCCACACACACACACTCACACACACATACACGCACATCTCTGGTGATAAGGCAGCCCCCGTGGCGCCAAGGTGAAGGCTCCCGGTCAGCGGCGGCGGTGCTCCCGCAGTCCAACCAGTCCACCCAGCACAGCCAGATGCAGCGGAAACACGCCAAGAAGGTCCGATCGTTTCTCCCCGCGCGAGGCTAGGGGCTAGGGCTAGGGCCGGCAGGGCCGCTCTGGAACGGTGTACACTGTGGAACTGAGGGGCGGGCAGGAAAGGGGCGGACGGGTTCGGTAATTAGGCAGAGGCCAAACCTGCGACCGAGCGAGCGAGTGCTGAAACAGGAAAAAGTGTACACTCAAAAAAATTTCAATACAAAATTCTGTAACATGGTTACGCAGTAATTTCCACTACAAATGTTACAGAATTTTGTATCAACACTGATACAAAAGTTTGTATCACGCGTTACGGTAAACTGTTTCCCGGTTACAGAATTCTGCAATGCTAAAATGATAAAAATTTGACGTTTTAAAAATAAAATTTGAATCTCAACGGTCGTTCGTTTCTACACATTCACTCCGTTGCTCCTGTACTCCCGAACACCGGAGAAATCGAACTGCGTTCCCCGGGAATCAAACCCCCGGTCCCCCGGATTGCCAGCTCGGCATGCTACCGCTTACGCCACAGCGCCGCATGGGGAGGCACGCCTCAGACTGTCGATCACGCCGAGCGGGCACGCCGCATGCCCAGGTAGTGGTGGGAAACGAGCCCTGCGGCGCGACAGTTAGAGTTCCTGGCCCGAAGCTTCTTTAGTACCATGCCCTACGTTAGGACTTTTCGCCCGATCAACTGTGATGTAAAAAATTAAGCTCGTAAATTTTACCTTAAATTTGCGTTATTAAATTTGCATCAGACGATATGTAAACTCGTAACAACATTTACAGTTTTCTGTATCAGTTACAGTTATTTGCATTAAGATCGCATTTTTACATGGAACTGTATCACTGATTGTGAATATTGAAACAAAAAGTACAGAATTTTGTATCAGTTTTAGAATTCTGAAGCACTGATTCGTAAATTCGTAACATTCTTGACGTGATACAGAATTTAGGATCAAGGATACAAATTTTTGTATCACACTGACGTGTTACAGAATTTTGTATCAAAATCGTTTCAAAATCCTATATTATTTTTTAGAGTGTAGGTAGAGAGAGAGAGAGAGAGAGAGAGAGGAGAGAGAGAGAGAGAGAGAGAGAGAGAGAGAGAGAGAGAGAGAGAGCGACGTTCGTCTTGTAGTCTCTGTGCCCCACCTCTTGGGAGGAATCGATCAGTCTTTTTTTCGTCCGTGGAATTAAGAGGGAGGCACGCAGGCTTGGCCAAGTTTTCGGTATTCCGGCGCGTGCGGCGCGCGGCCCTGTTTTCCTTGCCGATGGCCTCGCCACACTTCGCAGGAACAACAAAAGCGGCTAAGCCTATTTTGTGTATTTTATGTTGTTGTTTTTTTTTGGCCTCCAGCAGCAGGGCGGCCGCGGCGCCGGCGGCCGCTCCCTGGTGGCGGGGCTGGCCGTGGCCACGCTGTCCACCAGCGCGCTGCTGCAGCGCGACGGCCGCGACGGCCTCCAGGACGGCCTCCAGGACGCCGTCGAGCCCCAGGGCGACGTGCTGCGCGACGCGGACCTCCACATGGACTGGGCGCGCGCTGACGAGGCCAGCAAGATCCTCAACCCGTACCGGGTGAGTCCCCGAAGTCCAGGCCCTGCCCCTGGCTGTGCCCCTGGCAGTGCCCCTGGCAGTGCCCCTGGCCGTGCCCCGAATAATCAAGAATCGCAGTAAACTTGGCGTGGCACTGCGCACTTCCAACTGCCGGCTAAGCGGCCAAACGAGGTTCCGCGCTGGGACGCGGGGTGGGACGGGGTTGACGGCGACCCCCCCGGACCAAGTGCCGCTCCGTTTCGCGCTCTCTACGGCCGTGCCAAAGGTTCACCAGATTTACAAGAGGCGAAAGGGTTGCCAACCTCAGCCTGCCTTGCTAGGCAACGTCTCGAGAGCGAACCCCAGATGACTCGGTGGCCAGGCTGAGGCGGGAAGCCCTTTCAACACTGGTACATCGAGGGAATTTTCGACCGCTTGTGTGGCCGGATTGCGGGGGTCGCAGCCACCAGGCTAATTCGGTCTGTCGTACAGTGTACTCACTTGGAGACTGAAAGCGCCACGCTGCGTGATTGCTCACGTGCCTCCGTCTCCCTCGCGCCGCGACTCCGTGACGGGGCGCCGCGCGAGTGTGAGAGAGATGGAGCGCGGCACCGGCGTCACGCTGGTTGCCTAGCGGCAAGGCCGGCGTGGGGGCGAGGGGCGTCTATAATTGGCTTTCTTAAAACGGCATTTCTATGTGCATTTGCTCAGGCGGCCCTCATTTGAATTCCGGCGGCCGCCGGGCCAGCGGAAACAGTTTCGAGATGGAGTTGTCGCGTGGCGCCGCGGCGCGAGGAGCGTGCGTCAGCCGCGTCGTAGACTCTTCCCCAGGACGCCGTCGGCGGCCCTCGACGGGCAGCTACACTGGCAACACGGGGCGCCGTGTGGTCCGATTCCGAACAGCGGCCCCGTCGCTCTGTGTCTCTCGCACCCCTGGGGGCAGCCACGTGAGTGCGAGAGAGACAGAGCGACGGAAAGCACCGTTCGGAACCCGCCTGTCTTTCCCGCCAATTTGTTCCCCGCTTCCCACTCGTCTGTTTCTGTTTCCGAGAGGCGCCGCCTCGCTCCTCAGGAACGGCGGGGCGGCGCGCGTCGGGCCCGAGCCTCGCAGAATGCATATTCATAGATTTCTATTACCGTCTCATCTATCAGGCGCCACGCGCCGCCACGACGGCCAAGGCCCTCTCGGCTCATCACACACCGCGGCTGTGATTGGGTCAGAGTGGCCGCCCCGCCCCACCGCACCCCGCCGGCAGGGCCACCCTTTCTGTTTACGCTCGGCCAAGCGCCGCAAATTATTCGATTGCGCACCTGGGGGTCCGGGGACGCACAGTGGGCCAGAAGACCGGTGGAGGCGGCCAAAACTCTAGACGCGTTTTGAGCTCCTTCGACGCTAAATGGGACTCGAACCGAACGTGTGACCCCACTAATGGATTCCTCGTTCGGAGAGCAATCCATTGGTGGGGTAACACGTTCGATTCGAATCCCATTTAGCGTCGCTGCAGCTCGAAACGCGTCTAGAGTTTTGGCCGCCTCCACCGGTCTTCTGGCCCACTGTGGGACGTGGGGCCACCCCGGGCCCCCCTGCTAGCTCCCCGTGGCGCGCTCTCTCTCACCCCGCCGCTCCGACGTCGTCCTTGCAGGGCAGCCGCCACCCCGAGGTGCTGTGGCGCCGCGGCCGCGTGCTGTACCTGAAGGCCGAGGAGGCCAAGTCGAAGGGCGGCGACCGCGCGCGCCACGCCCGCCTGGTGCGCGAGGGCTTCGCCGCCGTGCAGCTGGCCCTGGAGCAGGACCCCGACTGCGGCAAGGCCCACCAGTGGATGTCCGTGCTGCGCTACTCGCTGGCCGAGCTGGAGGGCACACTGGCCAGGCTCAAGAGCGTCGACAACATCCGCGCCGACATGGAGGTGAGTCACCAGCAGCGGGAACAAAAATGATCTTTTTCGGAAAAATATAAAAAAGTGAAACCAATTGTGACTGACGCGGCGCATTTATGACGGGACGAACACCGACTGAAAAATCCGTCGAACCAACCGATCCATTTCTCTTTTCCTCGTAAAGGGTAATTAGCTCCGGTGAGCGATGGAGCGCGCGAGGGATGAGCGGTCGGGTGGGCGGAGCCATGGCGGAGCGACGACTCTTGCCACCTGTGGCCCGCTCTCTCTCTCTCTCTCTCTCTCTCTCTCTCCCTCTCTCTCTCTCTCTCTCTCTCTCTCTCTCTCTCTCTCTCTCTCTCTCTCTCTCTCTCTCTCTCTCTCTCTCTCTCTCTCTCTCTCTCTCTCTCTCTCTCTCTCTCTCCCTCCCCCTCTCTCTATCTCCCTCACGCCCATGGCCATCATCAGCGTGCCCACAGCGCGATAACTGGTCCCGTCACACAGCATCAATTATTTAGGTCAACCAATGCACTCTCGGCGGCTCGGACTCGGAGGTGCGGTGGTGGTGAGGGTGCGTGTGAGTGAATCTGAGTGCGTGTAAGAGAGAGAGAGAGAGAGAGAGAGAGAGAGAGAGAGAGGAGAGAGAGAGAGAGAGAGAGAGAGAGAGAGAGAGGAGAGAGAGAGAGAGAGAGAGAGAGAGAGAGAGAGAGAGATATGAGATGGATGGGAGCGGGTTGAACAGGATTAGCCAAACGCTCCCGCAAATATCAAATCAGTATATCTCCCGTGTGCGCCGTGTGCCCCCCCCCCCTCACGGCCGCACCGCCGTGTCTTGATTAAAAACCGTCCATCCCCATTGGCCGGCCCGGCCCGTCCCGCTGCCATTGCCGATACTGACCACCCTGCGATATTCGATCAGGGCGGCCAGGGCGCACGTGGGCCACCATGCCACTTCTTTTGGGACGCATAGCAGACTGAGAGTCTGTCTCTCTCGCACCCATACGGATCGCCTTGTGAGTGCGAGAGAGACAGAGCGATGGCCTGGCGGCGCTCAAGCGGGCCCAGGAAATACGGCAAATACGCGCCGACATGTTTTCCCAACTCGCAAACTGTGTTCGCGCGCGGCACCCCGGTGCGCCAAGGCGGACGGACGGACAGACAGACAGACAGACAAGCAGACAGACGGGCGGGAAAGACAAACAGAGCTAACCTGGCTAACAGGTCTTCTTCTCCTCCTTCTTGTTGCAGCGCGCCATCCAGCTGCTGCCGGGCGAGGATGTGCCGCGCACCATGCTGGGGATGTGGTAAGCCTCACCGCCCGCCGTCGCGCCGCCGCCCCGTCTCGCTCGCACTCGCGGGGAGTCCCGTGCGGGAGCGAGAGAGACAGAGCGACGCTGTTTCGGAATAAGCTCTTCCCCGGCAACCCAGAAAGCAACAAGCTTAAAGTCCGCGTCAATCAAAACGGAGCATTACATCGCGACGCGTGGCGCGTGGCGAGGCCGGCGCACAGTGGGCCTGGAGGCGGCCAAAACTCTAGACGCGTTTTGAGCTCCAGAGTCGCTAAACAGGACTCGAATCGAACGTGTGACCCCGCCAATGGATTCCTCGTTCGGAGAGCAATCCATTGGTGGGGTCACACGATCGGTTCGAGTCCCATTTAGCGACTCTGGAGCTCAAAACGCGTCTCGAGTTTTGGCTGCCTCCACTGGTCTTCTGGCCCACTGTGCGGCGTGGCCGCGGCCCCGCTGTCTTAAGACTCCAAGCCCTCTTGGATCGTAATCCGGCAAACTCGCGGAAAGCATCGCGTCTTCACGGCCCGGTTGATGCCGGGTACCGAGCACCAGTCTGAGCAGCCCCTTGGCGTGGGCGTTGCCTGCACTCTGCTGTCGCCCTACCCCTGACCTTCTACCAGGTGGCACCTCCACTGGAGCCTCCAGGCACCTCCAGCCCCGACTACCCACTAAATTTGCCGCACAGGGCGCGCAGTCAGCAAAACTCGCACTCTACAAAAAATGTCCTGTCAACGCCGTTAATTTATTACCTATGTTTGCTGTTATGCAATTCACGGCGTTTGCTGTGAACTAGTTCACGGCGTTTACTGTGATCTCGGTTACAGTGTTCACTGTGATCTGGCCACAGTAAACGCCGTGAATTGGAGCCTGATTTGCAGTACTTCGGTGCTCAGCGGCGTCAAACCATCAGTGTTTACTGGGGACCAGATCACAGTGAACACTGTAACCGAGATCACAGTGAACGCCGTGAACTAGTTCACAGCAAACGCTGTGAACTGACCTACAGTGAAAACTGGTAATAAATTAACGGCATTTACAGGACATTTTTGGTAGAGTGCGTCCCGAGCCTTTCCGCATCAAGACGAACTGTTGTCGACAATGCTCATAAACGACCGCCGGGGCCGGGGGGCTTGTCGCGGCAAAAAAAGGACGAACCCAACGCAACATCAACAAAACAAACACGAACAAACAAAAACAAAAACTTTTCTTAGTTTTCTGAGTAGTGTGAGGGTGTGAAAATGATTCCCCGCGCGTGAGCCTTTATGGGTTTCGCGGTGTGTGTGTGTGTGTGTGTGTGTGTGTGTGTGTGTGTGTGTGTGTGTGTGCGCGTGTGTGTGTGTCCGTCCGCGTAATGGCCGTAAAAACGCGTGCTTCGCCTCGCATCCTTCGCAACCCAACGACTTGCCTGCTCGGGGGGTGGGTCCGGCGCGTCTCCACCGCGTCTCCGCCGGCTGCCCGCATAGCCAGAATAGCACCTGACGCACTCACTCACACACAATCACACACACACACACACACACACACACTCACCACACACACACACACTCACACACACACACACACACACACACACACACATACTGACTCCGACTGCGGCTTGCAGGTTCTACGAGATATCCCAGCTCACGTGGCTGGAGCGGCAGGTGGTCCAGGCGGCCGGGCAGACGGTGCCCAAGCCCGACCACGCCCTGCGCCAGGCGGTGCACTGGTTCCACGAGGCGGAGCGCCTGCACCCCGCCAAATCCTGGTAAGGAATACGGAAGGGACTCTCTCTCTCGCCATTTTTTTTCCCTCTCGTTGTCGAAATTTCAATCTGGCGCGGTGGAACGGCCGATGGGCGCCGTAGTGTCTTGTTGAGTCGAGGCCGTTGTGTGGCCGAGGCCACCGCCGCCCCGCAGGCCTCGCCCGGCCGGATGAAGCGGCCCAGCGGGCCAGCGGGCCCCGGCCGCCAATACCCAGCGCGACCTTTCTGCAGTAACCCTTGGAGGCCAGCCCGGCCAGCCCCGCCAACCCGTTCGACTCGGGCAAGCTCAGCACACTCCAGCGCTAGTCATCACGACGCCCCGCCCCGCCCCGCCTCGGATCTAGGGCGTGCAGGATGCATGTCCGTGCCGGGGGCGGTGGCGATGGAACGGATCGCAGGCCAAGCCAAGCCAAGCCTTAAATCCGACGGACAGATCCGGCATGCAAAAAAAGAGAAAAAAAAAACCGGAAATTTTTCAGAGAAGTCTTACGAGAAAGCGTAATGGCCATGCAGTACCGCATTGGTGCGAATCCCACCGCCCTGCAGCTGCGGGGCGTCAGGAAAAAAAAGATCAGTAAAGATGAGAGGTAACTCGGTCCGTTGGTGTTGCAGCCTGAACCAGCTGATGCTGGGCAAGGCCCTGCTGGCCGAGGACGACCCCGAGCGCGCGCGCGCCTGCATCGAGAGGGCCGCCTCCATCCCCCCCACCAGCAGCTCCAACGCCAAGGTAAGGCGCCAGGCGCAGGGCACGCAGCCCGACGATACGCATCACGCCCATCAACAAACAAAAACAAAAAAAGAGAAAAGAATGAAATCTTGATGTTGCTGACTGTAATAAGTCGCGGAGAATTAAATGCTGCTGCAAAAGGCCCTTAAATCTGCGAAGGCCCTGCTTTCCTCGGCCGTCGAGCAGAACGAGGAAACTAGCTAGCCGGGGGAGGGGGGGGGGCGTAATGAGAAAACAGATCTCTCTCTTTCTTTTTTACTGGAAACCGAAGGGCACTCTCCGATCTCTCTGTTTCAACCCAAGTGCGCATGGAAACTGAAGCAGAGGCGAGATGGAGGTCGACGCTGAGCGGAGAGACAAAACTTTACGTTCCGGACGTTGTTTCTTGTTGGTGGCTCAAAAGGCAACGCTCTTGTGGAGTCCTCACTCATGCTCTGCCCGGTCAGTTCACTTTTCAAAAGCTTTTAAAACAATAATTCCGAGGCCTACATTTGTGGTTCTGGCAGTGAAGCGCCTGTCAGAGTCGGGGTAGGCAACGCGCCACGGACGGGTGCTGACGCGATGCCTACCCAGCCATTACCATTACCATTAAGGGCTAGACCACACATGCTCTGCAAACTCAACAGTGTACTCAGTACACTCTAGTTAGAGTGTGCTCATGAGTACACTCTAACTAGCGTGTACTCAGATGAGTACACACTTTCAGCTGCATAAATTGCCAGGCGTGCTTAGGTGTGTACTCATCTGAGTACACGCTAGTTAGAGTGTACTCATGAGCACACTCTAACTAGAGTGTACTGAGTACACTGTTGAGTTTGCAGAGTGATTGTATGCCATTTAGCCGGGCGCTCCAGGTCTCACCACGCCGGCGGCTGACTAGATTGAAGGGCCGACTAGCTGCACGAAATGGGAGCCTTTTTGACGAGCAGAATGTCGCGAGACACCGAAACACTCACCTGTCACGACGTCAACAATGCGACAACGGCCTTTCGGCCCGAATAGGGGCGACACGGCGGCGGCGCGTTTCTGACGCCGTTTTGGCTTGTGTCGTTTTGACGTCTTGACGTGTCATTTGACTCCGCGCCGCGCGCGCCGCGTGGCGTGTGCGGCGCACCGCCGCCGCTACAACCTCCCTGTGTGTGATTCAGGCGCAGCTGGATGCCAGGCAGCTGCTGGAGTGCTGGAAGCAGTGACATCCGTCTTGTCGCGATCCTCCCGACGATACCCCTGCGTCCCGGAGCGACGCGGCACCGTGCCGCGCCACGCCGAGCCACGCCACGCCGCGCCACGCGTCACGCTCCGGAGATGAAGCCTCAAGCACGCGTGCTCTGTCACGTGGCGAGCGTCCTTGTCGCACCGCGTCAGTCACGCACACAGCCGTCCCTGCCGCCGCCCCACGGCGATAGTTAGTACCTTAGGAGTAATTTAATTAGTTTGTAAATATGTATGTATAAAGTATGAAATAAATAAAGTGACTGTGTTCGGAGTGCGTGTTCTTCCAACCGTCCGCACCAGAAGCACACCGCAAAGAAGAAGTCCCGATGGGACGGCCGGACTGGCGTAGCAGAGAGGCGGGTAAGGGTTTTCCGACTACCTTTGCAATTGCGAGGCCAGCCGGTGAGGGTTGCTTTGTTGCGTTCACGACGCTCTACTAAACCACACGCCCTCAAAACAAAAATACAAAACAAAAAAACATAACGGGGTTCGAACCAGCAGGAGGGGCTGTTTCGGGGCGTTCCAGTGCGATCGGAGCGTTAATCCATGCGGCCACCGCGACAGACAGGCTGGTGATGGGCCAATCATCGGCACTTATTGCCGCATGCCTTGACGAGCCGGGCCGAGCCGGGCCGAGCCAAGCCGAGCCGGACCGAGCCGAGCCGGACCGAGCCGGGCCGAGCCGAGCCGAGCCGAGCCGAGCCGAGCCGAGCCGAGCTGAGCCAAGCCGAGCCGGGCCGGGCCGAGCCGAGTAGGGCCGGGCCACGTGGGCCGGAGCCGGAAGTGCCGACGGTGTGGGCGGTGCCGGGCCGCACCGACCACGTGGACGCCAACTTGATTCCAGCCAAACTCCAAACTGAATTGGTAAGCTCTGGCCGGCTCCGCGGACGGATCAAAGGACGGGGCGGGCAGGCGGGGCTGGCAGGGGGGCGGACAGGCGGGCAGGCAAGCTGGCAGGCAGGCTCACTAGGAAGAATTACCTTGGACAGGGTGGGGCCGAAGGCCGAAGGGCGTGCGAGGGTCCATGTAGGGCTGCCTGTCTGTCTGCTGGCCCCGCGTGGGCGAGCTCCCAAACAGTCCAGCATTTTGAAGTGGGCCCGAGGCCGCCTGCCTGTCTGGCGGGTCATGAGGGAAGGCCTGCTCTTCGCGTCAAACTGGAGGCACTGCCTACAAGGCAGGCAGGCGGGCGGATGACGCGAGGTGATGACTGCGCAACAAAACAAGTACGGTGGGTGGGGTGGTGGGGCGAGAATTCGTTTTCTCCCAGGTCCGGCAGCGGGCGAGCCGGGGCAGGGCACCCACCGGGCGTGGGGAGTAAATCCCACTTGCGGCGCAATGAGGTTTGCGACCGCCACTCTTGTCCAGCCAGCGGGCTGAACAGTGAACATGGCGGTTCCGCCGCTAACAAGGGAACCTATTCAGGGGGTACACTCAGATTTCGACCAAACTTTTTTTTTTCGTAAGAATAACATATAAGGTTAAGAATACACCTCAAAGTTGGTGCCAAGATATTTATCTACACCCTTTACCAATTTTTTAAACCTAAAAAAGGGGTAAAATAAGCCTTTTTGCATTGTATGGGTCATTTTCGGACATCGAATCGGCAAATTTGAAGTCGAGTTTTTTGTCATTTCCTTCAATGTTTGGTCCCCTTGTGACGAAAATGAGAGAAAATTTTGGTCTGTTTCATATATTATCATATTTTGCACAAATTTGGTGCAACTGCCCAATTACGACCGAAAATCTGCTCGTTGCATGTAAAATCATGGGCCATTTTACCCCTTTTTTCGGTTAAAAATAGTCAGGAGGGGTGTGGATATGTATCTTGGCACCAACTTTGGGGTGCATTCTTAATCTTATATGTTATTCTTACGAAAAAAAAAGTTTGGTCGAAATCTGAGTGTACCCCCTGAATAGGTTCCCTTGTAAGTCTCCCTAACCTAACCTAACCTAACCTAACCTAACCTAACCTAACCTAACCTAACCTAGCCCAACCTAACCTAACCCCGGGAGTACGAGAGAGGCGAGGCGACGTCCTGCTTTGCTCCCGAACTAAGTCCTTCCCGAGGGGTTAACGACTTCGGGAATCCGGCTGACAGCAAATTAGTAATCCGTAATCCGGATGACCCGAAATTTTGAGGTAATCCGGGGTAATCCGGGAAAATGTTGAGGTAATCCGGGGTAATCCTTCTAAATCCAAAGGTAATCCAGGAATTTTTTTGTTGTAATCCGGAGGTAATTTGGGGGTAATCCGGGGTAATCCGGGGTAATCCGGGGTAATCCGGGGTAATCCGTAATCCGGCTGACACGAAATTTACCAGTCGTTACCCCCTCGGTCCTTCCTGAACCAGAAGAGTTGTCACCATGGCCGCGGCCCAGCCAGAACCCCTTACCGACCCTTTTACATCACGCCCTTCACGGCCTCGGCCTCCAAGGCCTCCAAGGCCGCCAAACACTCGGCCGGCGGGCACTGTCATTCCCCGCTCGGACTATTAGTCATGGTGATGTTCGCTGTGATGGTCACTGCCGTGGTCATATCGCCCCGGAGGGATTAGCATACAAACTAGAGTTTGGCTGGGCCTCGGGGCGGCCACGGGGCGGCCCACCTCGCAGCCTCGCACCTTGGTCAAGACCTTGGTCGCCACGGCCTGGCGTCCGCGTGGCTGCCGCTACGCCCTGCCTTGGGAAAAGTAAGCAAAAAATAATGAAGTGAAACACGGAATCAAGCACGGATCAACAGACAGGGCGGAAGGACGACTACCCCTCCCTTGACCCATAGAAAGCCGCCTGGTGGAACCTGGTGCAAACTGTCACGGAGGACTCCGGTCTTTTACAGACTTCATGGTGCTGCCGAATGACCGGGACCAACTAGGACCTTTATATCAGGACGTTTTGCCTCCTCGGACCGCGTGGCACTCGTGTAAATCTTGTCAGAATGTCAGAGACCTGTCTGAAAACCTGATCAAAATTCGCGCACCTCTGAAAGCAGAAAACATCTACTGACAGGCTGTAGAACTCAAACCGTTAATATCAGAGTAAGTTTTCAGAATTTCAGCTTTCAGAGGTGCGCGAATTTTGATCAGGATTTCAGACATGTTTCTGACATTCTGACAAAATTTACACTAGTGGGGTTGGCGGGAAACGGTGCGTTGCTCACTGCGTTGTGGGCAGCGGTTTTCTTTAGGCCTGCATTTGTCCTGCCGAGCGCCAGCCTAGCTCCCTGAGCCCAATGCACGGCCCGCGTCGCCCTGTCGGCTGCCCCGCTCTCCGCCCCACGCCCCACCCCACCCTGCGCCGCCCCGCCCCGCCCCGCCCCGCCCCGCCCTGGGCTGCTGACAGGGTCTATGATTGATTGCAACGGCGTCCGACGCCCCGCCTTGCAGCCACCCCCACCCCCGCAGATTAGAGATAAGTCCCGGAATTCGTTGTCGCCACTTCGCCAGTGTGGACGCGGACATGGCTCGGCGCGTCAGGACGTCGCTGGAATCTGGAATCGGGAATTTCCCACGGCCGGCCACCCGAATTGGCGACGGGGTAAGGTTTGTCACCCGCACGGCCCGGCGCACAGTGGGCCAGAAGACCAGTGGAGGCGGCCAAAACTCTAGACGCGTTTTGGGCTGCAGAGTCGCTAAATGGGACTCGAACTGAACGTGTGACCCCACTAATGGATTGCTCTCCGAACGAGGAATCCATTGGTGGAGTCACACACTCGGCTCGAGGCCTGTTCAGCGACTCTGGAGCTCAAAACGCGTCGAGAGTTTTGGCCGCCTCCACCGGTCTTCTGGCCCACTGTGCGGCGCGCCCCGGCACGCCCCGCGCCCTGGACCCGCAGCATGCCGAATCTCGCTTGACGGCCTGCCCCGCTAACCCACCCCGCCTCACTCCGCCTCGCCTTCGCCCCCTCGCTCGGCCACACCCTGCTGGCCCCTCCCCTGGGAACGTTTCCCACGTCCCCACGGGCCAGCCACTCCCAACCGGCATCACTGCGCCTCCCTTCCCTCCTTCACCCCTTCTCGCCTCCACACACACACACACACACACACACACACACACACACACTCACACACACACACACACACTCCTTCACTAAGGCCTCTGGCCCCAGGAGACCGAAAGCCCCCCTCCGCGTTGACTTGACGACACCAACCTCGCGCAGAACGGCTAGTCCGGGTCACACCCCTTGTCCCGGTGAGGTCCGGACCGGACACCCTCTGTCGCCCCTTGCCCTTGCCCGCTTGAATTCCCCTCTTGGGGCCGGGGGGGAATCCCCCCTTTTCCCCCCTGCCACAGGGGGCCCGGGGGGCCCCGGGGTACCCGGCGCCCAACCCGGCCCCCCGGTTCCCCCGGGGGCCCCATTTTGGGGCCCCTGGGTTTGTGCGACCAGCTCGGCGGGGCCCCTCCACGGGCCTCCCATTTGTGGGCTGTACCAAGGGGTGAACGGAACGGACCGTGCCACAGGGGCCCCAAAAACCGGGTGGACCCGACAACCCCCTATACGCTTTAGCTATCAAAAGGTTTCGCTAAATACCCGAAGTCTAATTGGACCCCAAATGGAACCCTTTAAAAATTTGGCTATTACGTTCGGTTAGGCGTTTAGGACTCTGGAGCCGACAACGCGAGTGATTTTGGGCCGCCTCCACGGCCGGCCACGTGCGTGCCTCGCCAGGGGCCCTGCCCCCGTGCCACGCCACGCCGCGCCACGCAAGTTGCGGTTTTTGACTCGCCCGCGACTTTCCGTCTCGGAGGCGGAGGCGCGGACTGAAATAAAGTCGCCTCCATCTCAGTTCATCCGGTGGTGGGTCTAGTACATCATTGGACGATATCATGGGAGGAGGACGAGTGAGTGTAGAGTTCCACTTTCATTCCCATTTCCGAATTTGATCCAGGAAGCGGAAGAAGGGGTTAAGTCGAGTTGATTCAGTGACCTCTTATCAGTCTGTCAAGTGAACATGAGCAATTTGGTCCAAAAATAAGTGTGGTGAGACAAGTCCCATCCTCTTGCATCGTTTTTTAGATGACATTCCCCACCTGTTCTCCCATCTGCAGGGTTTAGGCCTTGCAAAAGTGCACGGATTCAACTCGACTTATACCCTTCTTCCGCTTCCTGGATCATTTCTGCACATCAGATGGGCATCCCTGGTACAGTTTGAAGTCTTAGAGAAACGCGGTTTCTGCGAGGACTCACGGCGCTGAAGGACGCCGAGGATCCCCCCACAAGGCACAGTGCGGTGCGCTCTCCGAGGCGCTCTCCGCCCCGGCCAGCCCCGGCAC